TTTTTTTTTTTTTTTTTTTTTTTTTTGGTGGGGAAGAATGGTGATTACTTGCGATTTACTGAACCAATGCTAAAAAAAAGGATTCTTTATTTCAATTCAGAAGAACGCTCCCTGGCTATCAGTGCCTCAGTTTGGGGACTGGGACCAGAAAGGTCAAGTGCCAGACTACTCTGTGGATTTCTCGAAAATCAGGGAAATGAGGAAGCAAAACAAGAGGGACGTCTCCAGAGCGAGTCTTGGAAATGAGGAAGAGCTCATTGCCCCAACAACCACCAGTACAAACACCGCCCACAGTGATGACCACCAACCCCATTACCATGAGAACCACCACTCTCCATCTGTAAGATTCCTTGTCCTGCATGCTTTGTGCCTCTACTTTTGGTATTATATCTACAGGGTAATGGATTAAATAATATTATATATATGTAAATAAGTGGTGGTAGTTGCTTTTGTTATTAATAGGGGGGGTTGTATTATGAACCAATATTTTTATGATGGTGACATGCATGTGGTAGGGTGGTGACGAGAGGACACCATTTCTTAAATTAGTTGGATCATATTCTTGCTAAGTGGGTAGTGGATCTAGCTCGGCAGAGAGAATTTTTGTTTAATAAAAATAAAGAAACCGAAATAGCATTAGATACCTTTTGCTAGAACCGTAATCAACTAGTTTGGGCGAATAGAGTAATAGATTACTGGCTGGTTTACCTGTCGATGTTTCTGTTTGTCGTGCTAACTGCTAAGACATGGGAAAACTGTGTTACCTTGGTCAAACCATGATATACCTTCGGTGCAACCATGCAATTTGATCAAATATGTTTTCATTCCTTTTGTTCTCTTTTTTCATTTTCATGACTTCAGTTTTTATTTTTATTATTATTTTTAAAAAAAGAGGAATCCAGCTTTTATGCTGACCATGTATTGCAGTTGTTTCACGCTAGCATGACAATCAAAACGATATTAATCAAGTAGCATGGATTTTCTTTTGCCTTTTTGGGTTCTCTCCATAAAAAAAAAACACCTGTCATAAAGGTGTCAAAATCAGCATCCTTATTTAGAAACAAAAAGGGATGTTTGATAGATATGTATTACCTGAGCTACACGCAAAACCAAGTGGTTGACACATGCATAAGATGATTTGGCCACATGATATGTGTCAAATAATAGTATGAAGCCAAATCAACTGGCGATATTCTCTTTGGACTACAGAAATGCAATAAAATAATTGAAAAATTACTATTATATAACAATTAAGAATGAGTGGTGCACATGCACCAAGTGTTTTAGGCCATAAAATTTGGGTCAATAATGTTATTAAAAAGGAGAGGACAACTAAAAAAGGGTATAATAATAATATGGATTATGTGTGTACGGCGAAAGTAGTTATGAAGAAGCGGTCGATTATTCTATATTAATAAATATTGGTAGGAAATTGAAACACTATTTTAATAATAAATGAGGAACGAAGGTCCAGTCTTATCGCAGATTTATAAGTATTCGTTTTAAAGAGAAAGAGAAATATGTCAAGACTTGAGATGAATTAAAATTAATAAGTTAATAGTTTACATAAGTTAATAAATAGGTTAAATTACTGTTTTTGTCCATAACTTGTCTGGTTATGAACCATAACTTGATAAGTTATTGTCCATAAATCACGGTTTTTATCTATAACTTGTTTGGTTATAAACCATAACTTGATAAATTTGTCCATAACTTATCTGGTTATGAATAATAACTTAACAAGTTATGGCCTATTAATTTCTATAACTAAAAGTTGACATAACTTCTTTTAAGCTTTTCATATTGGCTTATTTTTTACTATTTCCGTTCGTTTTATTGGTATTTGGTGGTTTGTCCCGTTTTCACTTCCCGTTGAATATATTCTATTCTCTTGGGATTATAACTCAATAACATTTCCAGTGATCACGATGAAAAGGGAAAATGTTTTTATTTTTTTTTTATTTTGTTTATTTATAACTGGGTGATTTAACTACCATCTCATAGTTTATTTTTTTGGGGGTTTTTTTTTTTTTTTGCTGAATAAAATAAACTATGAGGTGTCCCATCTCATAGCTGCTATACCTTGAATATTATGTTTATATATATATTTTTGGTAATGGTCATGTTTGTGTTTGTGTTTTGCTCATTTTGACCGTCTTTTTTCTCCCCTCTAAACAGACGAGACGGAGCTTTTTCAGCTACTTCAACTGTTGTGTGAAAGCATGAATACAAGCAAACGCGCAGCAACGGAAGATTTCTTTCCCGTTGTATGTTATTGGTTTTTTTTTTTTTTTCTTTTCAAATTTTAAACTTTTTTAACTATTATCTGTAATTTTACCTCCTCAATTTCCAACGTCTTTTATGAGCTAGGGATAGATTTGGAAATGTTCTAATGGATTCTCTGAGTAGTGATTTTTCTTTGCTCAGTTTCTTGGACTCTCGGTGTGTACTTGCTGACGTTATTATGATTCATTCTAAGCATGATATTCTGGTATAACCTGTAAATTGCTTTCAACTCTGAACAGAAACAAGTGAATATGAGATGTTGCTATTATTCGAGGACTTGGTAGTTGATAGTGGCCGCATTCTGGTCAGTTTTGATCCTGTCTCAACTCTCATTTTAAAATTTTAGCAAAAACTTTGAATTCTTGTTTTCACTTTTCAATATTAATGCATTGTTTGGTTGAAGGGAGATAAAAAAAGATAGAGAGAGAATGTGAATACGAAACAAGAAAGGTAATTTGACTATTTATTATTTTGCTGATTATTTGATATTTATTGTAGTTTAAAATAAGACAAGGAAGGTAATTTAAGCCTCGTTCGTTTCACTGATTGAGTTTTTAGTTTTAGGTTTTTACAGTTAAATTTTTTTAGAAAAAGTCATTTAATTTTTTTTATTATAATGAAAGACTTTTAAAAAATATCACATCTCAACTAGAATTGAAAATTTAAACCCGGAAGTGAATGAGGCCTAAGAACAAAAAATGTGTGTTTTTTTTTCTCCAATTCTCACTTTTGTCTCTAACCAAACAACCTACCATTCTATTCTCTTTGAAAATCCCTCGGCTTTTTTTACTCACTTTTCATCTTTTGTCTCTAGACTCTACCAAGTACCCAACATTGCACAAAACTGAATTGGTATCTTTCAATTAACTTAGGAAATCACATTGACAAGTGAGAACCTGTTTATTACCTCACTTGAAATGCATAATATTGTTTTACAATTTACTAAATATCGCTATCTATTTATAAAAAAATTAGGGATGACAAATTTAAGTTATGAGACGAAACATGACTCGAAATCTGCTTAGAGTCTGCAATTTTGAGTTTATAATAAATAAGCTTATATGATAATATTAACACGATTTATAAATGAGTTGTATTCAAATTGACCTTTTAACAAGAAGAAACATGAATGCCATGATTAACTGCAGGTATCATTTACAATCTAATTATATATATATGAGATATTATTTATTAGAGTAATTGGCACAAATAGTCCATAACCTATTTAGTTGATAACAATTTGGTCCTTATTTTTTTAAAATTTTGACAAAACAGTCCCTAAACTCATTAATTATGTGCAATGTACATCTTTTCGTTAACAACCGTTAATTCTTCACATAAACACACATGTGACCTGTCATGTGACCTTCTCTTACGTAGAAAAGACCGAATTGCCTTGATTTTAAATGTGAGTTTCAATTTTTTTCCAATTTAATAAATTGTTAAAAGTTTATCAAAAAATATTGATTTTCTTAAGCTGCATTTAGAGACCTGTTTGGATGATTTCAAATTGATAGTTGGCGATATGGGATTTCAGATTTCCCCAACAACTGCGCACGAAAAGACTAAGGGGATGTTTATCTCCTGTATTCGTCTTTGATTTTGAATCATGATTCATGGTTCTCTACAATGTTTTTCTCACAAAAAACATACGTATAATGAGAATGGTTCTGAATCCTTGAACTAAACGTCCTCTAAGAAAGAAGAAAGATAAAATTGAAAAGATTCACAACGACATATAATTTCAGAAAGAAAATTCCAATTTCAAAATTTTTTTGCTCTTCTTCCAATTTCAACAATTGGTTCAGTTTGCATTAGAGAAGTTGTTAACGTTGAACATGATCTGCGGGGATTTGAAACAAATTTCTTTAGAATGTGTTGGGCATGGCTTTCAACCTCTTCAAAGTTATCCTTTTAACAAGTTGTTTGCGCATATGCCAATATCAAGAACCATCTCACGATCTCAACAAATATGATCGGTGACCAATTACATAAATTAGATCTAGAATCACAAGACCAAAGTTTCAACCCAGTGTAGATTCAACGATCCCTCTCCTCCTCCGCGTGAACTAAGCCTTAATAATGCCTCTTCCCCACTTGCCCTGTCAAGCCTTCCTCCCTTTGTGCGAGCCGAGCCCCGTTCATCCCCCCTCTCCTTTGTGCAAGCCGAGCTTTGTTGAGGCAGCCGTTGTGAGATCGTCGCGAGTCAGCCTCGCCCCAGCCGTCACAAGATCGTCACAGCCCAGCCCCAGCAATTGCAAGATCGCCACAGCTCAGCCATAGCCGTTGCACCGCAAGATCGTCACAACGCCGTCCTCGCCGCCGGCTTGTCTTCTCTCACTCTCTAATTCTAAGGCCTCGTTCATTTCACCGATTTGAGTTTTCAATTCTAGGTTTCTATAGTAAAAAACTCTCAGAAAATATCACATCTTAACTCAAATTGAAAACTCGAATCCGCGAAGTGAACAAGACAAAGTTCCTGAGTTTTCTTTGGTCCGTAATTGTTTTTGTTTTTTTGTTTTAATTTTCATAAGCCCCAAATATATTTCCACCTCAAAATTCAACTAATAGGATGTTTTTACGGGTATACCCGTATTAGAAAGCCATGTGAGGGTCACGTGTAATTTTGTACAAAGAATTTAACTGAAAAGTGTAAATTACACTTAATTAAAGAGTTTAAGGAATTTTTTTAAATTAAAATAAAAATTAAACTGTCACTAGGGTAAATTACACTTAATTAAAGAGTTTAGAGACTTTTTTTTTTAAATTAAAAAAATAAGAACCAAATTGCCACTAATTAAATAGATTGATGACTATTTGTGCCAATTACTTATTTATTTATTAAGTAAAAGCAATATGCATTGTGAATTTAGTAATTAAATTTCATTTATTTTTCTTAAATTTAAATTTCAATACACTTCTTAAACATGTGGGTCATAATCATATAACAGGTGTACAGGTTAGTCTTATAAACTCATGTAATAAAAATGTCGTGTTTAAGTTGATATTTTCTAATACAAATGAGTTGAAATGAACACAATCTATGAACCCGTTCACGAAATTGTCACCCACTAAAAAATACAGTTGAGAGTTGAAACGTATAATTACTGATATCAGACTTAACTGTGTTTGATAATTCACGCTGTCCTGACAATTGCATTCAGTTCAACAACACGCAACAACCAAATATCGACCATACATATGAAGTTGACATCACCAAATACCGCGTTGTTTTGTTTCATTTTAAGTTCATACAGGCTCACGTCATACATACATGCTTTAATATGAAATCACCACAAAATTGCTTGACCACAAAAACCAAACTAATTTACACATCAAGCTGTCCCCAAGACAAGCTGTCCCCAAGAAAGTACTACTCCAAAGTCCATATAAGAAATAGAAAACACATGAGAAAAACAATGTTGTGGGCTCTAAGACAGCTAAGGAGAGGCGAAAATTTGGTTCCCTAAACGGACTGAGGACTGAGGACGAATATGACCCAGTACACGTACCGTCTATTTAATTTCGACAATCACAACTTTTTTATAATCTGGACGACATCTTCATCTTCCAGCTCATGCTCCTGTCATTTCGAAAGTACAGATTAATCAAGAACGCGACTCTTGTATAGAAAGGAAAACAACATGAACAAGGATGTCACAAACCTTGCCAACTCTCTGGGGCTTGTGTTTCGCGCTAGACCCCCAAACCAGAGCACTGCAAAATTGGTCAGAGTAGGATTTAAAAATGTGCAGGATTAAACAGAAGAAATGGACAAAACCAAGAGAAACAGATGAGAAAACTAAAAAGTATAACCGCTGCGCAAATGTTCTCCAATGGTAAGTACATCTCGTATACTAAAGACATTAGAAGTGCTAACATTGGGAAGGACAGGTTGTAGATCGGGTAAAGCTTTCCAACCCCACTAAAAGCAGGATGAAACCTATTAGCGCCAAGAAGGCAGCCCTATCATGACACACTAATTTCCACCCAAACATAGAACATAGATACTCTTACTACCTCAGTGCGCTATCAGATCTTCAACATGCTAGTTTTGAATGTAATGATCAGGGAGAGGCCACTTACTATTTAAATTGCTTAAGCATGTCCTTATGAATTCGCTCGCAGAAATCCTCAACTGTCCTCTTCTTTGATGACAGAATCACAGGGTCTTCATAGTCAGGGTTCATCCCTTTGGGCTTGGTGTAAATACGAGTTAAACTAAGATACTCCCAAATTTTATCAAGCAAACCGTCAAGGTTCCATTCAAGGTGAGAACTGTAGAATAATCATAGTGAAATACATGATTAAATTTGACAAACTATGAAGTTATAAATGGGGTAAATATGTGCCCAAGCAATCTCCTCAGAAAGCACTTTAACTTATTAAACATAAATAGGAGTGGTATAATAAGTAATAATAGCTATTTACCATAAGAAATGGTGCTAGATAATCCAACTTCAAGGCCAAAAGGACCAACAATTACAAGGCATATGACATTAGTTACGTCCAAAATAGTCATTCTGCCTCACCAAGCTCGTACCTTTGAACAGCTAATAAAATTTTACCTACTTATCCCATTTTTAGATATTTCACTTATTAAATACGTAATATGAGAACAATAATTGTCCCAAGCATTGATGCATATCGGAATTGTTAAATATAGAATATACACTGTAACCTCCGAAAATTAAGTGAATTAAATAAGCCGCTCTTCTAAATTCCATTTAAAGTTATGAAGTATTCAGCATAAGTATGATCAAGCAATGAATGAAACTTGGACTTAGTATAGAAAAGAAAAGAAGGTCCACATTCATCAGTATAGTTAATAAACCTAAAAAGAGAAACAGAAAAACAACAACAGCAAGAAAAATAAGTACCTGATTGGACAATAGTGAGGGAGTTTATCCAAAATCTCCAATTCTTCAAGTGTAATCTGATCAATCTTGTTGACAACATAGATGCAAGGCATGTATATCCTGCTACCCTCAATGACATCTATTAGATCATCAGCAGTTGCATCATACCGAAGAGTAATATCGGCATTGTGAATCCTGTATTCACTACATATCGCCTTCACAGTATCAAGGTCCAGAAGTGTGTTGGCAACTGTTGAGGTGAAATTAATCCCACCCTTGTCTTTCTTCCTGAATGTCAGATTAGGTGGCTCTTTGTTCAACCTGTTTCAGAAATAGGTCTTTAGCTAATTGATGCAGAAGTTACAAAAGAAGAGTAGAATAGACAGAAAAATGAGAGAGGCTTCACGTTGCAGCTGAAAGGCATGACTTTTAGGCTAAGAAATCGCTAAAGAAGTAATTTCCACCTATATCCTTTGATTATTTCACCTTAATTACCCACTTTTATGCCAAGCAGTTTCATTAAAATTTTTTGAAACACCACCATCAAATACGCATTGTTTTAATTAAACTATAAATGAAATCTTCAATGTGAACGGTCACAACTCAACTGACAAAATCTCATACCCAAAAAGTTCCGTCCCATTCCTGTTCCCCATCTATTTTATTTCTGTGAAAATTTACCAAAAAATGACCTAGATAAAAATATGTAGAGGAAAAGAACGCTTGACTGTATAACTCTTACCTTATACCAAATCCCTCAAGTTCCTTCTCTATTAAACGTTTGTGAGTTATTGGTTTTATTGCATCGAGAACAATTAAAATGCAATTGCATGTCCTAGCAGTACTGATCACCTGAGATTATAAGCACATAAATAACGTGTGTATATAAATAAGGAACCAGAAAAATCTTCATACATGTCAAGAGATGTCAAAGTTTTGTCAAATGTCAAGAGATGTCATATTTCTGTCCTTAAATGTATGCTACATCGCATCCACTTACATGTTAGAAAACATAGGATACGTATATTTCATTTCAGAGAAATGGTCGACAAAGTACCAAAAAAGAACACACTACAAAATTATAACATCTTTGCAAATTAAAATTTTCAAAGAGGTACTTGCGCTGTTAAAAAAAAAAGGCAAACTTGATACTTGGTGATTACTTAAAAAGGCCATTACAGATTAGTGCAAAATTTTGTTGGAATCCATTCATCTCCGCAGAAATATAGGTAGGAAATATTTATAGGGAACGACATTGTGAAGAGCCTGAGCTCATGTCTAATAACAAGTAAAACAACTCCGATGACCATAGTGCTCTACTCGCATATTTTACATTTGACAATGAATACATTCTTGAGAAACTTACAGTGGAATATGAACAGTTTATTTGGTTCAAGTACATGTGATCTGTCTGTAGGAAAAGATCATATTGGGATTCTGATAAGAACCAAGAAACGTTAGTGATTAGTTGTTGACGTGGATATGGGTTACTGTGGAATCTTGTTGAGAAAGCTTTCAGCAGTCTTGTTGAGGAAGCTTCTTTAGTAATAACTGGAATTGGTTAGTTTGTTAGATTTGTTAGTACGATTAGCAGGGGCGCCTATAAATAAGTTGGGGCTCGAGAGTTTAGGAAATTTTGGATTGTATAGAGTTTTGAGAGGAGAGTCGGTGATCTCTCGAATATCACCTGTGTAGTTTTCTTCTTTCTTGTTGAATAAATTTCATTCATTCTTCTTGTTCTTCGTTAATCTGTGAGGTTTCCATCAGATTCTTTATGCAGACTAAGGCTAGTTTATTTAATATAATGCCTATCTCAAATATTCAAATATTTGAATTATGACCAGTCTAAAAAAACTATAATCTAGAAAATGTAATATCAAGTTCTCTAGTTAAAGGAAATCATTTCGGGAAAGGTGAAATGGACATGATGTTATAACTAAGTAGTTCAACATCTGCACAAACTAATTAGAAACAAAACAAAATCCACTCAAATAAAGTTTTAACACCCACTTAGCTATTGCTTTAGGGGAAAAAAAAAAGAAAAAGGAAAAGAAAAAACTCAACAAATTAGTTAATTTCTATTTTCTAATCAATTCTTAAGCTGTAAATGGGAAACAGTATCACGTGGAACTGATATGTATCATGTTTACCTGCCTTCCTCTACCCTTCCCATCCTTTGCACCCTCAATAATTCCGGGAAGATCCAAAAGCTGCCAATTACAACACAAGTTAATACGACAAAAGCTTGGAAAATAATAATAATAAATCAGCTATCGTATTTCTCTGATAAACTCACACAAAAGCCACCAAAGTCATCTTAGATAAATCACCTCTTCATAGTAGGCTTCTAACTATGATTCACTACATTAGCTATCTTAGTTGTCACTCAATTATCAATACGTTTAAATATATTGATACTGTAGATTGTGTAATCAATCACAACAACCACGAAAGTAACTAATAAATTACATAAGAGAATAATGCAAAAACTATAGATCATTATTTACCTGAATTTTAGCTCCTCGGTACACGATCACACCCGGGATGCAAGTTAAGGTGGTAAATTCATAGGATGCAACCTGCCAACATATATCAAATAACAGGACATTTTGAAGAAGCGGAATATTCATGAACTCATAATGAAATAACATTGAGAACACAACATAATTACATTTCAGACCGTAAACAAGTTCTTAGATTTTAAACAAGGCACCGCAAAATAATCATCAACGAATTTACTCTCAAAAGAAATCAGTAACTTTTCTTTTGGGTTCTATGTACCTTAAGTGACCTAACTAGACCAACAGAAAGCTGCATTTTTCTTCACATTTGCAAAGAATGTACTTTTTATGTTTCCTCGGGATACTTTCATAGTTTCATTGTTAAGCGAGCTCTAAAAGGTTTAAGAAACTTTTTTTCCATTTAAAAGTTTATTTTTAATCTTTTACACAATATAATAGACACATCAGTACAAGATAAAACCAATCCACAATCTGAATAAATTACAAGCAACTTTTTTTTCCATAGGAAAGTACCAGCTAGTAGCTAATACTCGCAAAACTTAATCACCTCATCCAAGTGACATGAAAGCAAAATGACAAGCGGCAGTTTCATACCTCCGAAAAGGTTCCTGTCAGTTTATTCAAAAGTGTAGATTTCCCAACTGATGGGAAACCCACCAGACCAACTCTTGCATCTCCACTTTTAGTAACATCAAAACCGTCACCAGCACCACCACCTCCTTTTGATGTAGGTGTAAGGAGTTCTCTCCGTAACTTTGCAAGTTTAGCCTAGCACAAATAAAGCAAACAACATACAGATAGGGTTAGGCCAAACCAATAATTTAAAAAAAAAATATATTGCGAAAAATCAAGACACAAATGCACGAGAGACATTGGCATATATACATCCTTTGAGCTTAGACTAGTTAATAAAAATAAAAAATAACTCTGTGAGGATAAATAATCCTCTAGTTGGCTCTCAAATACAATTGAAAAGATTAACCAAAAAACAAAAAGCAGTTACCTTGAGCAAGCCCAAGTGATGGGCAGTTGCCTTGTTCTTTTGAGTCCTTGCCATCTGGATAAACAAGGCAAAAAAGCAAATTAATTAGCATTTGAATTATCAGAATTCCTTAATTTCAATCCACCTCAAAATATAATCAGCCTCAAATTTTTAGGAATCCAACAAAAGAAAAATAACAAAAACATCTACTTTTCTTTCCGTTTCATTTGGGTGTCACAGTGGACGCCACTTCTTTTACAAGATTTTATTGCAACCATTCAGCAGCTTAACTCAATAGAACCGATTCAAAACAAGAGTAAAAATTTTTAGATTTTTCTTTTACAATTAAAAAACAGCCAAATTTATAGCACTAAAACCCTAACCATCTATATTGTGCGTTGATGGAGCTAAAAATTTGGACTTCCCTCCATTTTATTCCATTCGCTCCGCAGACCAAAACAGCGACAGGTTCCACAATTTCGTAGAGAGGAAAAACGACGAGAGAGATTATAAATACGAACCTCATCTTCGATGTCCTTAATCTTCTGCATCACGGTCGCCATGGCTGACTGCAAGAGAGAAGCTCAAGAGGTGAAAGAGAGAAAACACTCAAGATCACGTCTGTACGGACGATTCGTAGTTTTCGCTCCGATGATGTTGGTGCAGTGTGCTTTACTGAAAGAGAAGAAGAAGAAGAAGAAGAAGAAGAAGAAGAAGCTACGAGAAGCAAAAGCAAATGGAGGCGTTATTTTGATGAATGGGAGAGGAGGCTCCCCCACTTGGCCCACTGGGCCACTTTGATGAAGTCATTTGGGCTTAATGGTTTGATTCAGACCCCAATATGATACTTTTTTTTTTAAACTAATTACACGGCAAAATTTCATAACTTTGAATTGAAATTTAACAAAATACTTAAAATATTATAAATATAGTAAAATGACATAGTAATTATCATAATAATATCACATTTTATACTATGTAATGATATAGTAATTATTTTAGTGATATAAAAATGATATAAATTTTATAATTCTTGTAATATTTTAAATTTTTTGCTAAATGTAAACTTTGATATTCAAATTTTGATATATGCATAAATCACCCATTTTTTTTTTAAATGGGTGAATTAAAAGGATTTTTTACAATACAAACTGTCTTTCTAAAAAAAAATTATTAGAATTATTGTTTTAGCTGTTAGATTAATTTTTTTGAAGATTTATTCTATAATTGTAAATATTTATTTATTATTAAAAATATCTTTCTATCCCGTGTTATAAGTTTTTAACGTTAATACTTATAAATCATACCGTTAAAAAATTAATTTAAAGATTATAATAAACAATATCTACTTTGAAAGTTTCTGTGAATTAAAAGAAAAGCTATGCAAGTGCACATTACTTTATAGAAGATGGATCTCAGAGTACAAGGCTCATATTTTATTTATTGTGGTGCTTAAATACATGGTGCTCAAGGCAATTTGTTTTAAAATAATTAAATTCAATTTCTTACTTTTTAATATTGAAGATTTAAGATAATGTTGAAATATTGATTGTTAAGCGTAATTATTTCATTTTTAACCATATGACTTAATAATTTACTTTTTTTTTAAATATTAGAAAAATTGTATGATGATTTTAGGGTGGGTTTTGTTGGATGGAAAGGAAAGAAATAGAATAAAATAGAATCCAAGTATGATATTTGGTCGAATTTATAAAAAATGAACGATCATTCAAAAGGAATGATCATTCACATATTTTAAGTGAATTATCATTCTTTCCTCACATAGGAAGAATAGTCATTTCAAATTTTATTTTTTTTTATAATCACTCTTGAATATTATAATATAATTATAACATATTATATAGTAGTTATATCTTATAGAATAAATTGACTATTTTGCACCTATTTCAACTTTAATTTGATTTTGGCCAAATACGTAAATGTGGAATTTAAGGGTAGTTTTGGGATTTTTGCCACAAAACGACGCTTTTCTTTGCTTATTTTATTCGATTGCTTCAATACTACATAGTACATCCTTCTCCTCCCCCTACGACTCAATTAACAAAGCACCATGTCCGCCACCGCAGAGGCGCCGACGGAGATCCTCATCCCGTCGCTACCAAACGACGTCGCTTTGCAATGTCTGGCTCGCGTCCCAAGACAGTATCATCCTGTCCTCGCGACGGTGTCGAAGCCCATCAGATCCCTCCTCTCCTCCCAAGAATTCTTCGCCGCCAGATCAGCCCTCAACTCCACCGAACTCCTTCTTTACCTCCTTATCCGAAACCAATCCGGCGGGCCCCGGAGTTGGCTCACGGTCTACGGAAGACCCAACCCAAACGATGACGACGGCGGCGACAACAAGAGCAATATCATCATCGCCCCGGTCCCAGGAGTTCCAGACGACTGGCAAGATTGGTCCCAGTACGCCGTTGTGGTCCCCAGGATCTACGTCTTCGGCGGCGAAATCTACGGCCTCTCTTCACCCGAGTTGTGGATTTTCGATTGCCGCTTCCACACTTGGGAGCGCGGCCCGAGCATGCCAACCACGGTAAGCGACACTTTCCGACCAAACCGTATTTTTTGCCTGAAAATCACGCCTCTCTTCAAGACCGTAGTTTTGGACGGCAAGATTTACGTGATCGGATGTTGGACAGTGGAGAACTCATGGGTCCACGTGTTCGACACGGTGGATAGGCGCTGGGAGGCCGTTCCTAGCCCCAAGCTTGTGGTTTACGGCAGACCGGTTGTCGGCTGCGCCATTAGGGGTCGTGAGGTTTGCGTTTGGTTGAACAAAGAGGAGCTCAAGTTCGACCCCGCGACGAAGACGTGGGAGGTGTTTGAGAGTCGTACCGGTTATGGATTGGATTGGAACACAGATGTGTGCGAGGTGAATGGGGTGCTGTATTGCTATGATCGTCATAGTAGGTTGATTAAAGGCTTTGATGAAAGAATTGGAGAGTGGAAAAAGCTCAAGTTTGTGAACAAAGGGATGCGAAGTCACTGGCGGAGTATTCGGATGGGCAATGTGGGAGGGAGCTTGGTGATCATGGGGTCGGCGCGTTTTAGGAATTTGGAGAGCACGGTGGGAGTGTGGTGTGTGGAAATTGAAGTGAACAAGGACGGGAATGAGGATTTGCAAGGACAGGTTCTGTGGTCGGAAATGGTTTATTCGACCCAAATATGTTCATTTGGTGGGTGGCCCTTGTTATATGCTTGTGTGCCGGTTTCTTTGTGAGGACTAATTGGATTATGTTATATAAAATCTTGCTTTGTTCAACTTGTTCAATGGTTTTTCTGATAGTTTTTGCTCTGATTGGTTTGTTGTTGAAGGAAAACTGTTAAAAATTATCTGAGTGGATTATAAACTTCTATATGTGTGAACTCTGCATATGTCGAATCCTTGAAAGAATTTACACGACACAAAATCGTTCTTTTTTGTCCTGTTAAGTGTTTTATCTGCATTTTCCTTGGAGCCGAGGAGAATCTGTAGAAGACGCTTTTACCACTCATGCCAGTTATGGAGTGAGGAACTTCATGAATTGGGTCACACTCATTACCTTGCTTTTGTTCCGTATTTTTTGCTAACTAGAAGTAAAAATGTTAGTGCATCAGGCATTTTACACACACATATTTTTATATTTACTGGATTTTTTTTAATTTTTTTATTTCTGAAAAACTTTGGATTATAAAAGAACAAATTCAGGCCAGGTGATTTGGTAATGTCATTTCATGATTTGGAGCAAAAAGCAGATACAAATGGTTTTCCTTGCTTAAACCTTGCCCTTCTAAGTTGTAACTTGTAAGTAGTATTTCTGTTTTCCTAGATTTAATTTTGTGAATAATACAATTTTAATAGGTTACTGAGGAATTAAAGGAAATATAATCAATATTGAAAATAAAAGTGTTTGTTGCAGCCCGGATGATTTATTTGAAATGCACTCTCTTCCTTTCTAGTGCACTTTTTCCATACTTAAGACCCTGTTTTTAGGGTTACCTCAAGATCCATTTGGACTCTGTATATATACCCTGTTATTCCTGAAACTTCATCGTGATTGAAAATAAAGTGTTTGTTGCAGCCCTGGAGTTTATTTGAAATGTACTCTCTTCCTTTCTCTTGCACTTTTTTCTGTTCTTAAAACCTTTTTAAAAGGACACCTCAAGATCCATTTGGAGCCACAAATAGCTTCTTCTTTTATGTACCCTGTTATTACTGAAGCCCAAACACAATGACGTGTTCGAGTCCTTTTGTTTTGTCCTGTTAATGTTGATGACTTAGACCTTCCTTATCTGTGTTGTTTTGGCTGATATTTTATTTTCTTTTCGGAAATTAATCAATGTTAAGGTAAAGGAGTAGCTTTTTTTTTAGAGAAACGGATGCTCGTTTAGCTTGACCTGTATCTTGACCCCTTAATTTGTTATAAGAACAGAATTGCACCTGCCAACGCCCCAAGTTTAAGTCTTTTGACTCTGACTAAGCTAGTAGGTTTCTTCCATTTGAGTGACAAGGTATGTCAAACCTGTGCCCGTTCTTATTTCAGCTTGTTCAGTTGGTTGTGTTTTGTAATTTAGCATTGGCAAATACGGAAGTTGTTTGCTAAATGATGCATCTCTTTTAAAGCAAACACCTTCCGAGTCCAACTCAAAGTTTGGACTCGAAATGTAGATAAACAGCAGATAAGATATCGGGAAACGACTGTTCCGTTGTCATTCACCGGGCACCTTCACATGCTCATGCTTTACTACCTAACTTGGAGACCTTTGCGTATTGACTTTAAAGCTTCAAAACCTCCACGTCCCTCATTCTTTGCATCCATTTTGACAGTTGAATAGTTAAAGTGGGCAATGACATGAAGAGGACTTTCTTGAGAAGAGAACTTTAAAGAATTGTTTTGAGCGATGAACTTCGTTCAAGTTTTTGAGGAATTAAGTGTTGGTGATGCTGAATCTGATCTTTCGTGAATCCTTGATAAAATTTACGTTTAATGGATCATCTTCTCTTAGTTTTTGAGAGAATTTGGTAAAGTAGAAAAGACTTTCTTGAGGGGCCTTTACTGCCTTGGTCATGCTTCTTGTTAGGAATCGGAAATTTCTTGAAGTGTGCCGCTCATTTCCATAGGTCTCTGCTTTCACATTCCTCGCTACTGAATTCCATTTCCTGATGCCGCCGCGTGCTACAAAAGAATGTCTTCCATTAGTTTGACAGATTTGAGCTATTTCATTTGCAGTATTGGGTTTGATAGATTTGAAGTTCAGTAAATCACAGCAGTGTGGTTTTTACTGATTGTGATTGGATGATTAAGTCGGTCTTTGATGACTGGAGCTTTTGCAACTGGTCTTGTGGTCTTTCATAGATGAAGATTGGAGCGACTTGTGGTGAAATTGTAATTTTCCTGCAAGAATTCGCTGGTCAACAAAGAATTAGGGCACATAGCTAGTTAAGTGGTCAAGTACCGCCTTAGTGGGAATAACAACGACCATCTCCAGGATACAAGATTTTCAAGTTCACTTATATTTATGCTATCAAAAGAAATATCATACTTTGCTACAAAGCCATTCATGAGATTAGTTGAGGATACATCTGTATGGAGAATGTTGACATATTATTGTGTCATTTATCCATTTTCTGTTTAAGGTCAGCGCAGATACTTCATGTATATGGGAGACAGACAATGTACACAAAACCTTATTGGACAAATAATGACTTTTCTATAATTAATGAAAAACAGCGACTCATATTATGTGGAAAAAGTAGACTTCTCTCGACATTCTTTTGTCAACCAGATTGGTATTAGCCGTATGCATTCCATCACTATAAAATTTACATTTTATAGGTCATGGTTTGAGTAGTAGCTCATAATAGATATACGCAGTTCCTAACTGCTGAATTCCATTTCCTATTGTTGGTGTCTGTTGTAATGATGCTCGTGGAGTCCTTTTGTCAGTTGTCTTTTACTTGAACTAGTGTTTGTGTTATTAAGACCAGACTTTTCTTTTTTCTTTCATGGGGGTTTTTTTTTATAGGACTAGTTTTTGATCGTTCATATCAAATTAAAAAAATGTGTATAACATACAGTTTTTAATAAAAATATGATGGCTGAGAATAAGAAAATATCGATAGTTTATTTATTTCTTTATTTATTTTTGCGTGGAAGATCAAACTTCTTATTTTCCTACAATAATAATCGATAGTTTATTTATTTATGGGATGCCAATGAGAGGTATAGTTGCATCCTCATAATAAAAAAATATTGGGAAAGGATCCATGAATGATAGTAAAGAGAGCTTCGATAGGTCCTTCTCTCCCTATGCTACCACCACCGGTGGTCAATAGGATATACTTGTCACTTGTCATGTTCTTGAATTTATTTTTCCTTTTTCTTTCATCCGTGGTCACCCCCGCTTTATTTATGGCTTAGAAATACGAATAATTTCTCCATATCATTCTTTGAGAGGAATTAAATGAGAAACAATGCATATCCAATCATAATATATTTTTTTTCCATTTTTTGGAAGATGAAAATGTTAAGAATTACATGCATTAATTCTACATTAATTATTACCGAGAGCAATAAAATTGCGGAAAAAATTTAAACAAAAATAAATACACAATTCATAGAAGTTCGCCTTAATATGAGGTTGCATCCTTTTTCAACCACTACATAAGTTTCAATGATGAAGAAAAAATTTACAAGAAAAAAATCACACCTCATAACTCTGTGTATTTTCTAACCTCTAATTACCCCATGAAACGACACCCTCCTTTTATAATGGAAACTAGGGTTTAGAAGAATTGAATTTTACTAGTTTGAAATCCCCATAACACCCTTAATGAAATCCCAAGTCGATTATGAGGTTACTCTGCGTAAAGCAGTAATCCTCAAGGTCTACTTAGACTCTAAAACTTAACAGAAAATGGTTTATTTTGCCTATACATTATGTATTTTCCCATTATTATGTTATGTTTTCTATAGTTTCCTTGTGTTTGGTATATTTACGAATTGCTTAACCAAGGTATTAATCAAGAGTTTGTATTAGATTTTCATTCTACCGAAAATGAAAATTTTGCCACTAACCCGTACCAACAGTACCATAAAGTTAATTTTAATTTTTAGTTACACCCTTATTTTTTACGTTTTTTACTTACTTGTTATCTATTATTTTCTCTTACTTAAGACTTAAAAAAATACGGTTTGATTTTTAATTTCATTTATGCCCTTCACTTTTTATAATTTTTTTAATTATTTAGGGCTTAAAAAAACTGTTTAATTTTTTATTTTTATTTATGTCTTTCACTTTTTGTGTTTATTATTTATTTGTTATTTGTTATTTGTTATCTATAATTTTTTCTTTGTTGGAGTTTCAAAAAAGCGGTTTAATAAAAAAAAAAACAAAATATGTTAACAAACTCGTTATCATCAGCAATGCAGCCACGAAGCCGAAAAGGGGAAAAAAAAAGAAAGAAAGTGAAATTACTAATTTTAAATACTATGGCCCCGTTCACTTCGCTGATTCGAGTTTAGAATTCGAGTTTTTCTACAAATACTATATCAAGCATAAGTCACTAAAGTAATTATAAGATATTAAATAGGACTGAAAAAGGAAAGTCAAAATCCTAATATTATCTGAAAAAGTAAACCAATAAAAATGTAAACTCACCATTTGTCGCACTTGTCCTTTATTAATCTCCGGGGTGAGGGTTCAGTTGCCACTCCTGTCTTTTCCAGCTTTGCCTCCAAAACAGAAACTCTCTTTGAAAAATGGCGCCTCCAATGTCCACCACCGAATGGCCGCTGCCGTCGGAGGTACTCATCCCTTCCCTCCCAAACGGCGTCGCACTCAACATTCTGGCACGCCTACCAAGACAGCACCACGCTGTCCTCTCGGCGGTGTCGAAGCCCATCAGGTCCGCCGTCTCCTCCCCACACTTCTTCGCCGATCGATCACTCCTCAACCGAACCGAGACCGTCCTCTACCTCAGAGTCCGATCCTTCCGCCACACCCACGATCACTGGTTTGCCGTCCACCGAAACCCCAACCCAACAACCAACAACAACAATCTCCTCCAGCTCGCTCCGGTCCCAAGGATCCCCGTCGAGAAACAACTGAAGGGGTCTGCTTACGCCGCCGTGGGCCCCAAGATCTACGTCATCGGCGGATACACGGACTCCGAGGAGGAGGAGCCCGAACCTTCGTCCGATGTGTGGGTCCTCGACTGCCGCTCCCACACATGGGAGCGTGGCCCCAGCATCCTGACGCCGCGATTCAATCCTGAAGCTGCGGAGGTTGGTGGGAAAGTCTACGTGGTCGGAAGTGCCGCGAAGGAATTATGTGTTGAAGTTCTCGACCCGGCGGTCGGACACTGGAAAGCCATTCCCTACCCGCTTGACAAAAGTTCATGCTTGGTTACCAGCTACATGGTTGAGTTAATGAGATACAAATTTCACAGACAAGAGTTAAGGTTGGGCCCGACGATGAAGATGTCGGAGGTTCTTCGATTTGAAGAGAAGGAAAAATCTTCTTTGTTTTATACTGGTTGTTTGATGGATCGGCCGTGGTATGATTATCATCCCAGAGAGATATGTAGAAGGTCTGATTACGGAATTGATGAGTGGGAAGAGCTCGAGGGTGTAAAGGAAGGGAAGCCTAAGTACTTTTGTGAGCCTAAACTGCTCAACCTGGAAGGTAGGCTAGTTGTGTTGTTCGGAGAGGCGAGATTTGGGAATACAAGTGAATTGGAGAAGGGAAAGATTGGAATATGGTGTGCGGAAATCGACGTGACGAAGAACGGAGGCGTGGATTGGTGCGGAAAAACTCATTGGTCGGAGAAGGTCCTTTTGCTCCCCGAAACAACTTGGGGAATTCCAGAAGAGAGTTTTGATCATTCGCTCTTTCTCTATGGTTGCGGATGCTTGTTCGTCTCTTTGTGAGCACCGGTAAGGCATGAAGTATGGTAGAATGGATTTGTTTCTTTGCAGTGATGTTTATAGTTGTGCTTTGTTTAACAATCTAATGGGACATGGGACGTTTGGTTCATAGATTCAGAATCATGATTCAAAATTATTCTCATTTTACGTGTATTATTTTGAGAGAAAATACTGTAACAAATCACAAACCATGGTATGAATCCCTCTACCAAACGCACGCTAAATATTTCTTGTGAACTCAGAATGGTTGCCTTGATTGCTTGTGTGAAATTGTGAATGCCTTATGACTTTGATGATTAGGCTTGTATATTGATGAACTCTATTTATATAACTACATATATATATATATATTTACGTATGCGTGTGGGTGTATATGTGTATGGATGCACGTAGAAAACTAAATGGAGAAAAAGAATTATATATAACACTAACACATATTTATTTTAGTGTTATTTGCAGTCTTCTCTTTTTAAGATACAAAAAGAATTTGCAGATGATCGGTTAAAAGAGAAAAGGCTTAAGAGTGAGGTCCACTAATTTTTATCTCTCCAATATTGAGAGAAGAAAACTCAAATTCACCTATTGATAACTAAAATAACTTTTTTGCACATATTTTAAACTATAAATTAATATTAAATAATTAATAAAATAGTGTTTTAACATGTTATTTATTTTCTTTTTCTTTTACCAAACGGAGTATAAGTCTTACAAATGATTCTGACTAAGCTAGTAAGTTTTTTCCATCCTTATTTTAGCTTGTTCAGTTGGTTTAGCGATAAGTTATTTTAACTAGTAATCTTTTAACTTTAAAACTTCAAACCTCCAGGTCCCTCATGCCTTGACGTCCAATTCGGTAGCTGAATAGTTAAAATGGATAATGACATGAAGAGGACTTTGAAGAATTGTTTTGAGGGATAAACATTGGTCAAGTTTTCGCGCAATTATTAATTGTTGGTGTTGCTGATATTTTCTGAATCCTTGATGGAATTTACATTTTGTAGATCATATTTCTCTTAGTTTCTGAGATAATATGGTAAGGTTGAATAGACTTGCTCAAGGGTCCTTTGCTACTTCACGGTCACGCTCGTTGTTAGGAGCGGAAATTGCTTGAACTGATGGTTGTGTTGTTAAGATCAGACTTGTCGATTCCTTTTATTATTTTACAGAAATAAAAGGATATTGAGTTTAACTCAACCTAATAAAACCGGCTTGTTAGGGAAGGATTGCTTTCACCTTATTAGGTGGATCATGCCAATATCTTCAGCCAATGTGAGATTCTAATACACCCCCTCACGCACAGCGTAGACCATGCTAAACCGCTGTAAATAATTTGATATTGGGAGACCCAACATTACAAAACTGGGCCTGCTCTGATACCATTTTACAGAAATCAAAGGATATTGAGCCTAACTCAATCTAACAAGACCGGCTTGTCCTTGTTAGGAGAGGATTGCTCTCACCTTATTAAGTGGATCGTGCCGAAATCTTCAACCAATGTGGGATTCTAATATTGTTCTGTTCCTTTTTGTTTTTTACTTCTAGAATTGCAGAAGCTAAATAGGTTTTTAAAATTGATGTCGATGCCCTTGCAGTTACCACTGTTGCCAAAAGCCACAGGTGAGAAGTGTTTTGGCATTGCAGATTGTTCTAATGTCAAAAGAGTTTTAAGGCTCACTTCTTAAGTGGAGTTGGCCGAGGTTCAGGCAACTAGAGAGGACCCTTGCTTTAGAGTTCAGTATTCTGGTAGGTTTAAACTTTAAACTTAGCTTGGTTATTTTGTCAAATAGTTTCAAAGGAAGTTATTTATCAAGAGTGGTTGGAACTAAAATTTCCCAAGTTATTTTATTTTATTCTTATATATATTTTTTCTCCTCCTGTCTCTCTCTCGTTTTGGCTTTAAGATGAGTAATTCACGAGTACAACTGCACAACCATTCCCATTACTAGATTTTTTTTTTATTTTAGTTTTTTTTTTTTTTTTGGACACGTCTTATAGCAATAAATCAGTGGCAACGAAGTTTCTCAATACAAATTCCCAAGTTTCTCTCTTACTTTACTATGCCAAGCAATCACGAGTCACGAGTATGTTAAGTATAAAACTATTATTGGCCCGCCTCTTAACAGCTTAAGTTTTTAGGGTGGATTGGTAAACTAACATGGTATCAGAGCGGGAGGTCCTGAGTTTAAACCCCCGTAATTGCACTCTTTATCCCCATTTAAAAATTGTCATGTGTTGGGTCTTTAATATATCTCAGGCTTAAATATTCACGTGTTGGACTTTCTAATTAATTTATCCACACGATTGCCCATTGTGCAGCCCACACGTGAGGGGGAGTGTTAAAGTATAAAACTATTGTTGGCCCACCTCCTAATAGCTTAAGCTTTTGGGATGGATTAGTAAACTAACAGAGTATGAATACATAAGCATTCACATTTACTACTAATTTTTTTTTAATGACATTTAAGGTTTTAATCTTATATCAATACGTCCATGGCCACAGAGAATAAGTTTCTTATTAAAATGTGGTACAACTTTATCAAAGAGTACATGTCAATCTGCAGCTAACCGGTGTTTATTCATGAATTTTCATCATGTTCATCATGTCTATGTTACTATGTAATGTGTCTTTAATCGTACAAATGATCCACAGATGTTATTTCCAAATCCTATTTATCTTTCTTTCATAATATCTCACTCGTGATCTCGTTAACAAAACTTGTTTAGTATAAGATGAACTGCTAGAGGTTGTTTCATATTTGTATGTTGTAATAGAGCAGTTGACCTTGGCAAGTGTAATCGTGACTTATAAGAACCTAAAAGGAAAATAAAATCTTTTATTTTGGTTGAAGGTGCAAGTGTAATCGTGACTTATAAAATGCCTTCAAATTATGTATTTGAGTTTAACATGTCCTTCAAATTTAGAAAAGTACTTAAATTATCTAAGATTTGAAATACTCACTATGTATATGATATCAATGTATAATGACGCGTCATTACTTATAATTTCATAAATGTCTTTTGAGTTATTGATTATAAATCAACTTGCACATGACTTTTTTCATTTTATGTCAACTTATTTTGTTAATTTTTTATAAAAAGAATCAAGTAGGGGTATTTGTAAATATATCAAAAATGGAGGGAAACATTAGCTAAATGAACTTTTTTTACCACTTGTTTCATAAATAACCAAACTTTTTTTATTTTACAAAAATGGCTATTTTGTTTACAGGAGTCAATCAGTGATTGGCCCATAATCAATTAGTTATTGGCCGCAGTTAATTAGTGATGGACCCACGATCAATCAGTGATTAACCAATTCATTATTAATTTATCATTGATTTATTATCAATAAACCTGTAATTTGTTGATTTAATTTATTAATTACTAATTGATTTTGGTTAATTATTAATCGATATTGATTAATAATGAAGACTGAGTTAATCATTGATAAACTAAAATCAATCATTAATAGACTATTAAGTTAATCACTGATTGACTATTAAGTTAATCAGTGATTGATTGTTAAGTTAATTAAAACGGTTTTTTTTTTATAATTTTATAAAACTTCAGCTATTTATAACAAAATCCTACAAAAAAAAACCCATTGTGCTGAAATCCCCTTTAAGAGGTATTTTGAACGGTTTTTTATTTCGAAGAGGTAAATGGACCTTAAAAAAAAGTGAAGACTTATAGGTCGTGTTTAGAATTGATCTCGTTTTTATTTTTTACGTGTTTTGAGAAAAAAAAATGAAAACGTTTTTAAAACGGCGTTTGGCGCAATAAAGATAAAAAACAGAAATGAAAATGATTTTTTTGATTTAGTGTAAAATGAGAGAGAAATGAAAAACTTTTTGGGTGCGTTTGAAATTCGTTCTAAAATGATCTTATTTTTTGTATGAAAATGCAAATGAAAACGTTTTCAATCTCAAACAGAAATCATTTTTAAAAATACGTTTGGTAGTTTTATTAAGATATTATTTTTAGTGTAAAAAACTCGTTAATGTCTCTCTTTCTCTCTCTCTGCTAAAGAGAGGAGAAAACGAAAACAAAAAATGAAAAACAACTAAAAGTCATTTTTCATTTCTCTCTCATTTTACACTAAACTAAAAAATCGTTTTCATTTCTGTTTTTTGTCTTTATTGCTCCAAACGCCGTTTCAAAAACATTTTCATTTTTTTTTCTCGAAAAGCGTAAAAAAAAAACGAGATCAATTTCAAACACGACTTTTATTTTCATTTTCTCCTCTCTCGAGCAGAGAGAGAGACGTTAATGAGTTTTTTTATACTGAAAATAATCTCCTGATAAAACTACCAAACGCATTTTCAAAAATAATTTATGTCTAAAATTAAAAACGTTTTTATTTTTATTTTCATACAAAAAAATAAAATTATTTTGAAACGAGTTCCAGACACGTCTATAACTTTTTCAGAATGTTAAACTTTTTCACCACGCCTATGGAACAACCGTTAGAGGTCCTCATCCCTGCCTTCCAAAACAACGTCTAACTTAACATTCTAGCATGCCTTCCAAGACAGTATGACGCCGTCCTCTCGGTGGTGTTGAAGCCCATCAGGTCCGCCATCTCCTCCCTTCAATTCTCCACCGCCCAATCCCTTCTCAACTGCTCTGAGACCATTCTCTACCTCAAAGTCGGATCCTTTCCCCACGCCCACGACCACGATAACTTGTTCGCCGTCTACAAGCAGCGCTCTTTTTTTTTTTCTTCTTTTCTTTTCTTTTTAATTAGTTTAAAGGCCAAATGTTTTTTAAAATTCTTAATTTATTCCCCAAGTTTATAATTTTGACTAAAATTTCTTCCATTTTGCCACCAAAGAAACAAAAATAATTCTTTTTTATCCCAGTTTTCTATTTTTATGATTTTGGTTAAATCAATTTTTTTATAAAATGAAGCAAAATTAATATGTACAATGAAAAAACTAAATTACATATATTCATAAATTAAAAACCAAACATTAATACATAAATGCGTAAATAAGAAAACCATAATGTTACACTGAAATAAAATAAAGTTACCACTAATATTATTAACCAAACTTAACACTAATATTACACTAAAATAAAAGGTGAAAGGGTAGTAGATGAACAATTCCTTGCTCGACATAGACAAATCAGGAATAAAGACGCTCAAACTGCGCTTCGAAATGCATTAATTGGTCATCTGTGGGATGAGTATACTGATTCAGGGAATAATAATTCAAACGATTAAAATGATACTTGGAGGTGTATTTATGTTTTTTTTTTCCCCCTCATCAGTGTGTGTTTATGTTTTATTATTAAATGTAATGTTTGGTTTTAAAAGTTTTTTAGTTAATGTAATTTCATATTTTATTAATAATATTTATTTATTATTTATTGGAGTTGGTCAAATAATAATTCATTTTATTGCATTAATAGTAATATATGTACATAATTAGGGAAATAGATTAAATTTAAATTGTTGAGAATTATATAAAAAAAATATACTGAGAATATTCTTTGTAGAGAAATGTTTATAATAAATGAGTAAGAGATTGATTTATTGAGTGCCGTGAAATTATTCTATTTTAAAAGATAAAAACAACTCTAAAATAGAAAAATGGATCGGAGATGGTCTGGAGTTACGACGTTTAATTCATGAATTTAAAAATTAGAATTTATGATTATAATTTTTAAAATTTAAAATTTTTATTAAAGAAAAACATTCTAAAAAATTAAAAATCATAATTATAATTGAGAACTACCCTTAAAAGTTACAAACGTCGTTGCAGGTTTCCCATCTTTCATTGCCCAAACTGAAGCTTTAGACCAAAGAACCTCTCCACTCTAAAAAAAAAAATAAAAAAATAAAAAAATAAATAAGGTCACCAATGTCGTCCTCCGAGTGGCTGCCGACGGAGGTCCTCATCCCTTTCCTCCCGAACGACGTCGCACTCAACCTTCTGGCACGTGTACCAAGACAATACCACCCAATCCTCTCGGCGGTGTCGAAGCCCATCAGGTCCGCCGTCTCCTCCCCACATTTCTTCAGCCTCCGATCACTCCTCAACGTCACCGAGACCGTCCCCTACCTCAGAGTCCGAGCCTTCCGCGGAATCCACGAACGCCCTTACGACAACTGGTTCGCCGTCCACCGAAACCCTAACCCTACCAACAACAATCTCCTCAAATTCGCCCCCGTCCCAAGGATCCCCAGAGACTCCGAAATCAGGTTTTCTGCTTGCGCCGTTGTGGGACCGAAGATCTACGTAATCGGCGGACGCGTGATCAGGACGATTGAGGACCCACAGGGGAGGAGATACGGGCCTTCCTCCGACGTGTGGATCCTTGACTGCCGTTCCCACACGTGGGAGCGTGGGCCGAGCATGCGGTCGCCGCGCGCCTTAGCCTCGGCGGCGGTCGTGGATGGGAAAATCTACGTGGTTGGGGGTACCCAGACGGCATTATGGGCTGAAGTGCTCGATCCGACGGTAGGACGCTGGGAGGACATTCCTGGCCCGCTTGACGGCACTGATCCGGAGCTTTTCAACTTCCAATTGGTGGATGGTAAGATCAGCATCTGTTTGAACTCGGATGAGTCGAACTTAATAGAGTTTAGGTTGAATACAACGACCAAGACGTGGGAAGTTGTTGGAAACGAGTTTTCACCTACTAGCGATATTTGCGTGGTGGATGGGGTGTCGTATAGCTCTTTCGGTCGTAATGTAGGGAAGATTGAAAGGTTTGATGAGAAAATCGGGGAGTGGAAAGAGCTCAAGGGTGTTGAGGAAGGGAAGCCCGAGTACGTGTTTGGTCATCGTCAAACACTTATCAATCTGGACGGAAGATTGGTCGTGCTTTTTGCAGAGATGAGATTGGAGGAGACAATTGATCCGAAAATGGGAAAAGCTGGGTTATGGTGTGCCGAAATCGATGTGACGGAGAACGGAGATGGGGATTGGTGGGGACGTGTTAATTGGTCGGACAAGGTTGTTTTGCTTCCGGAAGTGACTTGGGATACTCCGGGCGGGTATGAGTTTTTCTATTATAAAGAGGGCTTGTCAGTCTCTTTATGAGGACTGGTAAGGCAGTTGATTCTTGAGTTTAGTAAGTTGGATTGTTTCTTCTTCTTTGATAGTGTTATAGTTTCACTGATACTTTGTTTAACATATCAATATAATTTCCTTGTGTGAACGCATGTGAAAAACCAAAAGGAAAAAACACAAAGTTAAGACTAATGAGGTACATAAATAGGAGTTCTTTTGTGGAAGATAACAACTGAGATTTATATTAGTATATAAACTTGAACTCTAATGGAATGGAAGCAGTATTCAACAAGCTTAGGAACTACTTGCTCTTTGTCAAATCGCGGATAAAACTTGAATGATTATGGATCATGTTTGTTTTCCATTCTTGTTTGGTGTATTAGGTATTATCTGCATTCTTTCTTTTCTTGAATAGTAAATATTGAAAATGATTTAGATAAAACCCAATCAAGTGTTGACTTTTCTTTTTTGCTCGAAGTCTTGAAATTCTAGGATGTTTGGAGGATATGAGAAATGACTGTTCAAGTCCTTGGAAGTCCGTAAGTATTATGGATGTTGAATGTGGATATTTTCTTTTCATGCTTTCTTTTGCATAATGTTCGTGTTGAGAACTATGAATTCACTTTGTGCCTACTGCAAACTATTGGCATTGTATGAATTGGTCAGATATACGTGCCTGCTAATTTATGAGATATTTGCAGAGGAAACTTTTGAGGCTTGTTCCCCAAGTCATATGGTAAAACATCAAATAATGATTGAAGCAATTTTTTAACTATCACATGTTTTGTCAGGATAGGTATGTATGTTTTAGGTAGGAGTTGTGACTTTCTTTCAATTTATCTGGTCCTTGTAGAAGTAATATTTAATAAATTTCTTGAAAATTGCTTTCTTATGCTACAGTGTTTTACCAATACAATGCCAATTCTTATTAATTTTGTAGCACATAATTTTTTCTCTCTTTTTTTTTTGTGTGTTGTGGGGGGGGGGGGGGGGGGGGGGGGGCAGGATTCATTTTTTTTAGGGCATGGAATGCATTGACTTTATTAGCTCAAAATTTTCTTCCCTGAATGAGACATCCAGATTCTCTCTCTGTTCATGATCCTCTCTGTGACTGGGAGGAGTTCGGTAAGGCACTTGAAGTAGGTTACTGATACGTGATGGCCATATTACTGTTTTCATATTCCATTTTTCTGTGTAGGATACAAAATCTCTGTTGCTGCCAATTTTCAAATACTTTTTGTTTGCTGTTTCCAATTGTCGAATACTGGTTTTTCGTAATTGCAGAAAACTCATTTCTTGGAGTTGGCATGCAATACAATTGATGATTTTTTATTTCCATAGCTTCTCTGCAATCTGATCAGTTTGTTGACTCTGACCCACCCTCGCTAGACTTCTATCAAAAGCTAGTTTGGTTAACAATGTGGAGGCCGGTTGTTGGGCCTAGACTCTTCTGTCTGTCTTTCTAGTTAAGCAAAAAACTGTCAGGGAACAGGTTAGTTGTTCATTTCTGTCTCTTAAAGCTTATGTAATTAAATTCTATATTGCCTGTTATTTTGTCAAGACAATATTTTGTGCTTGAAAATTTGTCAATGTGGATGGTGGAATTGGTGTATCGTCGTGCCAATTAGCTTGAACTTTTTACTTCTCCTACTACAAACTATGTTCAAGCTTGAATGTTCAAGTGATCTTTTGCTTGTGCTATATTATTTAATCTAGCTAACTTGATCATCAGAGTTGTTACTCTTATTCACATTACGTTATTTTAGCTTTTTTATTTTTTTTTTATTTTTTTGAATTTACAATTGGTTGTTTAGTCAATGGTTATGACTCAATTGGGTAAATGGTCACCTTGAGCTTGAAATTTTAGCACTGCTTTTCTAAGCATATGCTCCATAGAAAGAACGTCAAGCTTTCGTAGACGTCTTATTTGCTTCAGTGACAAAAATCGCTTCTTCCTTTTCCTTCAGAAAACCTCAATATGTTCACGTTTAACTTGATGATTGGATGCTTACATGCATTTTGTAGTACTTCAAATCCAAAGACTTGCAAGCCATCAAAGAAAATACTATGGAATTTTGTCTAGAGTCAGACCACTCCTGAGCAACTTATTGTTCGCGGAGTCGCTGGCTCGCTGCGATTTTGGTTTTGATTCAATGTGAATGTTGATTTTTCATGAAAGCTCTGATTCCACACCTCCTTAACAACGATTCGAGTTCTAATATGCTTGTCGTTTGGATGCATATGCCTTGATGTGGACTTTTAGGTTTCATAGCTGCTGATGAACTGAGAAATAAGAACTGTGGCAGAAGAAAGAGTAAGAAATAAAGGGGAAGAAAGTGAGAGCAAAGGTAATATTATCACAAATGAATAAACTTTAAAATATCATTTCTTGCAAGGAGTTTAACAGGCTGACAATAAGGATAATCTTAATTAAAGAAAAAATTAATAGGAATGACTGCATATGAACTAAAAGTTTTAAAAGAAAAGCTAAGAACAAAAACTTTTTGAAAAATTATGTCTATAAACACACGCCTGACTCCACACATGCATTATAATTTCTGATATTTGCTCCTTTGCTAACACGTGTCATAAGATTATTGCTAAATAAAATAAGAATATGTCAAAATTAATCACTCTATTAAAAAAATGGAGAAAGAGGAAAATAGACCAAGATTTTAGATAAATTAAAATTAATAGGTCAATAATTTACATAAGTTAATAAATAGGTCAAATTATTGTTTTCGTCTATAACTTGTTTGGTTATAAACCATAACTTGACAAGTTATTCACAGTTTTTGTCCATAACTTGTCTGGTTATGAACCATAACTTGATAAGTTTGTCCATAATTTATTTAGTTATGAAGCATATTAGTTTCTATAACTAAAAGTTTGTCTATATACTTTCTTAAGATTTTCATATTGGCATATTTTTTACTATTTCTGTTAAAAAAATAGAGGAAAATGAAAAATATTGATAATATAAGATCCATCCTAAGTCTGTTTTTTTTTTTTTTAAGAATATATATATATATATATATGAATTAGAGAGGTGAGTTTTTTAAATAAAAATGCATTAGGTAATATTTTTTTATTTTCTTCTTTTAAAATTATTCTCAATTTTATTATTTAAAATTGAAGAATATTTTTGTTTTTCGAAACTTTTTCATACAAATCTTTTTCCTTAACAAAAAATTTTTTGTTTTCAAAATTGTGACCGAGTTTAAGATGGTATATATTTGGTAGGAATTCAGAAATAGTACTCGTGGCCAGAATCGGGGTCGGGATTGAGAGTTACCAATTAAAAAAATCTTTTAGTACACGGATTAAGCTATTTTAGTTCAAGGACTAAAGTTCTCTTTATTAAAATCAGGAATTTAATTCTCTTTCTTGAAACTGAATTTCTAATTAGTATATGTGGACTGTGGTTAATTGAAAACAATATCCTAAATTTGAAAATTAATTTTTAATTTTTAAGTTGCATGCTGCATTTATGTTTAGAAACCGTTAAACGAACTGTCGTTTTAGTTCATGCAGGGATTTAATTCCTCTGTTAACCGATTGTTGCCAAACCACAGTTAAAATGCCAAAAAGCTGCCGCTACAATACCCTTCCTTCAATCATAACCGTGATACATTATGAATGGCTAAGAAAAAAAAAAAGAGAGAGACCGTCCCTCCACGAGAGAGGGAGGGACGAAAGAAAATCTGGTCCCGTTTATTTCACCGATTCGAATTTAAAATTTGAGTTTTGTTATAGTAAGAAATTTTTAAAAATAATCACATCTAATTTTTTTTATTACAGTAAAAAATTCTCACAAAAAATCACATTTGAATTCAAATTAAAAATTCAAATCAATAAACTAAACGGACTTTTATATATATATATATATATATATATATATTACACACACTCGAGTTAGGATCAAGTAAAATATAATATTTATTAAGCACGTAAATAAATCACATATCTATAATATTTATTAGCTCTCACATAAAGCTATTGACTGGAACTTTTTATTTAGTAGATATATATATATATATATGTGAGAGCTAATAAATATTATATTCATATGTAGTTTATTTACTTGTTTAATAAATATTATATTTTACTTGATCCTAACTCGAGTGTGTGTAATATATATATATATATATATGCAACTTTTGACACAAGTAATTCCAGTTGGTGCTTTGTTCAAGGATTCGTGTTATGGTTTGAATCATGATTCGTGACTCGCTACAGTATGTAACTTTTGACACAAGTAATTCCAGTTGGTGCTTTGGTTTAAGGATTCGTGCTATGGTTTGAATCATGATTCGTGACTCGCTACAATGTTCTCTCACAAAATATACACGTAAATTAAGAATGATTATGAATTATGATTCTGAATTTATCAACCAAACGTATCTTCAATACTACTGTTTGATTCGTAATAAACCTATATTTAGGGGACTTTTGGATCCTCTGGCCAAAATTTTCTATCTCAAACCAAATCTTAGGGCTCACATAATGTCACATAATGTAACAAATTCACCTTTTGAGAACCTTTTCCATCAAAAATCGTCTTCATAAAACATGTTAGAAGAGCCCGCGAAAAAAAAAAAAAAAAAAAACAACAACAGAGTGGTTAGAGAAACCACATATGTTCTCATAGATTTGTAAAACTTTAAAATCATCCAAGACAATTGTTGAGATTTTTTTTTTCTTTTTGCGCGTGCGCGCTCGCTTGTGTGTCAAATAAGACACTACTTGTTGAAAGAGAAAACATTAAAAAACAATTAAATTCAAAAATTGTATAATTAATGTGATATTTAAAAACTGCAAAACAATAACTTCTTTTTTGTTACATATTCTCTCTATTTTTTCCTTCGAGAATGTCTTAATGCCTTGTATTTATAGTTGATGAGGCTCCAAGAGTTGTTTCCTCTTTACTTGGTTGATTTGGCCATCAATATGTGATTCTTGTTTTCTTTTTGGGTGATATTTGACTTTCCTTTACAGATTCACCTTCTCACTGACTGGTCAAATGTGGTTTGTTGCCTTTTAGGAGTTGGAAATATAGCTTCATTATGTAGAAGATGGAAGACAATCAAATTCGTACAATGAGCATATTACTTGCAACCTAAGTCAACCATTGACCTCTTTCCTCTTTAATTCATCTAGTTTGATTGGTTGATTTCATTCCTTTTTTAGGATGATTATGTTGCCAATTCCTATTCTAGGAATGCTTGGACGATATTCTCTCATTGCTTGGTGCCCACAGTTGAGTATCAACTCGTGAGATTGACCAATGAAGTTGACTGATTGATGAGTCGTTTTAACCTATTTAAAGAGTTGCGGTGACTCGTTTAGTGACCTTTTAGAGCATAAATTACCACGTATACGAAGAGACATGAGGTACAAAATCTAAAATTAACAATTATAAATCCTCAAAAATTTTAGAATAATTGAGACAAAGAAGTTCTCACCAATTTCAATCTTTTGCTTTTGTTGTTTTTATCTAGTAATTCTACTCGTTCAAAAAAAATTGAAAAACAATTAAATTTAAAAATTGTATAATTAATGTGATATTTAAAAATTGCATAACAATAAAAATACATTAAAAAATCAAAATGAACAAATACGGAACATGTCACGTTCATTTTACTGATTCGAGTTTAGAATTCGAGTGTTGCTACAGTAAAAATCTTTTGAAAACAGTCACATCTGACTTTTTTACTACAGTAAAAAACTCTCATATAAAATCACATATCAACTTGAATTAAAAACTCAAATCAACGAACTAAACGGGCTCTAAATAAAAACAACAAAAGAAATTGGCGAGAACTTCTTGGTCTCTATTTTTCTAAAGTTTTTGAGGATTTATAGAACTATAAAATGTAAGGTCCATTTAGTTCATTGATTCAAGTTTTTAATTTGAGTTAAGATGTGATTTTATGTGAGAGCTTTTTACTGTAGTAAAAAAGTTAAATGTGATTACTTTCAAGAACTTTTTACTGTAACAAAACTCAAATTTTAAACTCAAATCGGTGAAATAAACGGAATTATAATGTACAGGGCATCTCCTTTTCCTTTTCCTTCATTTTATTTTATTTTATTTTATTGTTTTGAATTGATAGCTAAATTACAAGCTTACGACTGTTAAACGGAGTAACGCACTAACCAACCTCTCCAGTTTTTCATTCACCCGAAAAAAAAAAAAAAAAAAAAAAAAAAAAAAAAAACCTAAAAAACCCTCCTCTAAAATCCCTCAAAAAAAAAAAAAAAAAAAAAAAAAAAAAAAAAGCTCAAAAATCCCTGCTTCAATGTCCTTCACCGAATGGCCGCCGACGGAGGTCCTCATCCCTTCCCTCCCAAACGACGTTGCACTCAACATTTTGGCACGCGTCCCAAGACAGTTCCACCCCGTCCTCTCGGCGGTGTCGAAGCCCATCAGGTCCGCCGTCTCCTCCCCACATTTCTTCACCCTCCGATCACTCCTCAACGTCACCGAGACCCTCCTCTACCTCAAAGTCCGAGCCTTCCGCGGAATCTATGAATACGACCACTGGTTCGCCGTTCACCGAAACCCTAACCCAACCAACAACAATCTCCTCAAATTCGCCCCAGTCCCAAGGATCCCCATTGAGAACGAACTGAGGTTTTCTGCCTACGTCGCTGTGGGACCAAAGGTCTACGTAATCGGCGGAGAATATCTGATCAACTCTGAGAGGGACCGCGAGCCTTCCTCCGACGTGTGGATCCTTGACTGCCGTTCCCACACGTGGGAGCGCGGCCCGAGCATGCGGTCGCCGCGCAACTTCCCCTCCGCGGCGGTCGTGGATGGGAAAATCTACGCGGTTGGGGGTAGTAGCCGGTCGAGATTATGGGCTGAAGTGCTCGATCCGGCGGTAGGACGCTGGGAGTACATTCCCTGCCCGCTTGACGGCACTTATCCAGAGGTTTTCAAGTTCAAATTGGTTGATGGAAATATCAGCATCTGGTTAACCTCGAGCTTTGCGTCGGACCCAAAGGGGTTTAGGTTGGATACAACGACTAAGACGTGGGAAGTTTTTGAAACTGAGTTTTCATCTAATACGAATATTTGTGTGGTGGATGGCGTGTCGTATACCTCTTTCGGTAATAATGTAGGGAAGATTGAAAGATTTGATGAGAGAATTGGGGTGTGGAAAGAGCTCAAGGGTGTTGAGGAAGGGAAGCCCGAGTACGTGTATGGTGATGTGCAAACACTTATCAATCTGGATGGAAGATTGGTTGTGGTTTTTGCAGAGATGAGATTTGAGGACACAACTGATCTGAAAATGGGAATGGGAAAAGCCGGGTTATGGTGTGCCGAAATCGATGTGACGGAGAACGGAGATGGGGATTGGTGGGGACGAGTTCATTGGTCGGAGAAGGTCCTTTTGCTTCCGGAAGTGACTTGGGAAACTCCGGACGTGTTTGCGTTTTTCTATATATCGGAGCGTTTGTTAGTTTCTTTATGAGGACTGGTAAAGCAGTCGATTCTTGCGTTTAGTAAGTTTGAATTGTTTGTTTTCTTTTATACTGTTTTCACTGATGCTTTGTTTAAAATATCAACATAATTTACTTGTTAGTTCACTGTGATTTGATGATTAGATGTGGAGGTTTTGTTCGGTTATGAACTCTACTTATTTTAAAAATTTGTGTGAACGCATTTGAAAAACCAAAAGGAAAAACATAAGATGGTTAAGACTAATGAGTAGATAACATAAATAGTTCTTTTGTGGAAGATAATTACTAAGATTTGTACGAGTATATAAACTTAAACTCTAATGGAAGTAGTATTCAATAAGTTTAGGAATTCCTTGTTCTTCGTTGAATCACAGATAAAACTTGCATGATTATGGATCATGTTTGTTTTGCATTTTTTGTTTTTGTGTATTAAGTATTATCTGTATTCTTTCCTTTGTTGAAGAGTAAATATCCAAAATGATTTAGGTAAACCCAATCAGCTGTTACCATTTCTTTTTTGCTTGAAGTCTTGACATTCGATGAGGATATAAGAAATGACTGTTCAAAGTCCTTGAAAGTACCTAAGTATTATGGATGTTGAATGTAGATATTTTTCTTTTCATCCTTTCTTTTGCATAATGTTTGTGTTGAGAACTATTATTTCACTTTGTGTCTACTCTAAACCATTGGCATTGCATGAATTGGTCAGGTATACGTTCCTGCTAATTTATGAGATATTTGCATAGGAAACTGTTGAGGCTTGTGCCCCAAGTCAGATGGTAAAACATCATATAATGATAAAAGCAATTTTCTAATTGTCATTTTGATAGTGAGAGGTATGTTTAAGGAAGGAGTTGTGACTTTCTTTCAGTTTATCTGCTCCCTTCTAGAAGTAATATTTAATAAATTTCTTAAAAACTTGCTTTTTTTATGCTACAGTGTTTTAACAATAAACTACCACTTTTTATTAATTTTCTAGCAAAAAGTTTTAGTTTTTTTAATTTTTTTTATCTTTTATTTATTTAACTTTTTTTGGGTATGAAATGCATCGACTTTATTAGCTCAAGAATTTGTCTCTGAAATCTGAATGAGACATCCAAATTCTCTCTCTGTTCATGATCCTCTCAGTGACTGGGAGGAGTTCGGTAAGGCACTTGAAGTTGGTTACTGATAAGTGATCACCATATTACTGTTTTCATATTCCGTTTTTCTGTGTAGGATGTAAAATCTCTGCTGCTTCCAATTTTCAAATACTTTTTGTTTGTTGTTTCCAATTGTCGAATGCTAGATTTTCGTCATTGCAGAGAACTCATTTCTTGGATTTGGCATGCAATACAATGAGATTTATTATTTCCACAGCTCCCCTGCAATCTATCAGTTTGCCGACTCTGACCCTCCCAAGACTTCTAGCAAAAGCCAGTTCGGTTAACAATAACGAAGCCGGTTGCCGGGCTTAGACTCTTCTGCACCAACTCTGTCTCTGTCTTTCTAGTTAACCCAAAAACTGTCAGGGAACAGGTTACTTGTTCATTTCTGTCTCTTAAAGCTTATGTAACTAAATTCTATATTGCCTGTTATCTTGTCAACACAATAGTCGTGTTTGGAATTGATCCTGTTTTTATTTTTCAGGTTTTTCGAGAAAGAAAAAATGAAAACGTTTTCAAAACGGCGTTTGGCGCTATAAAGACAAAAAAAAAGAAATGAAAATGATTTTTTAGTTTAGTGTAAAATGAGAGAAAAATGAAAAATAATTTTTAGTCGTTTTTTATTTTTTATTTTTGTTTTCTCCTCTCTCGAGTAGAGAGAGAGAAAGAGAGACATTAATGGGTTTTTTTACACTGAAAATAATCTCTTGATAAAACTACTAAACGCATTTTTAAAAATGATTTCTATCTGATATTGAAAACGTTTCATTTTCAAATAAAAAAAAATTATTTCGGAATGAGTTTCAAATGCGCTCATTACTTTATGCTTGAAAGTTTGCCAATGTGGATGGTGGAATTGCTTGAAAGTTTGAACTTTCTACTTCTCCTAAAACTATGTTCAAGTTTATCTTTTCTTATTTACAATTGGTTGTTTGGTCCATGGTTATGAGTCTTATGACTCGATCAGGTAAATGGTACACCTTGAGCTTGAAATTTTAACATGCTTTTCTAAGCGTGCTCCATAACAAGAACGTGAAACTTTCACTCGACACGTCTTGTATGCTTCAGTGACATAAACGCTACTTCCTTTTCCAGTTTCCTTCTAAAAGCCCTCAAATCTGTCAAGTGTAACTGGATGATTGTTATGCGTGCATGCATTTGTAGTATTTAGTGCGCATTTGAAATTTATTTTAAAATGATTTTATTTTTTGTAGAAGTATGAAAATGAAAACGTTTTCAATCTTATACATAAATCATTTTTAAAAATGCGTTTGGTAATTTTATCAAGAGATTGTTTTCAGTGTAAAAAAATATAATAATGTCTCTCTTTCTAGAGAGGAGAAAATGAAAATAAAAAATGAAAAACGACTAAAATTTATTTATTTTTATTTCTCGCTCATTTTACACTAAATTAAGAAATCGTTTTTATTTTTATTTTTTGTCTTTATTGCGCCAAACACTCTTTTAAAACGATTTTATTTTTTCTTTCTCAAAAAACGTAAAAAAATAAAAACAGAATCAATTCTAAACAGGGTCTTAATATCTAAGACTTAAAAGTGATCAATGACAATACTGTAGAATTTAGTCTATAGTCAGACTTACACGGCTACACCTCAATGTTCAGCAACTTATTCATAGTGGAATCATTGCAATTTTGGTTCTGATTCGTTGTGAATGTTGATTTTTCATGTAGTCTTGATTCCACCTCCTTGACAACAATTCAAGTTTCAATGAGAATCAAGAGGCAAACACTAAAGGATCCATTGCTTGTACCAGTTGGACCAATTACAAGAGCACGGGCCAAGAGACTTAAAAGAAATTGAGAAAATAAAATAACTTGAAAATTCAAAGTGAGGCCGAGAAAAAAAAAAAAGAAAGAGAGAGAAAAAGAAAAAGAAAAAGAAACCGAAGGATCAAGAGGCACGAGTAGCACCGGTTATCTCCAAATTAAAAAAAGGGAGAAAGAGAGAAATAGATCAATACTTGAGATGAATTAAAATTAATAGGTTAATAGTTTACATAAGTTAATAAATATGTTAAATTATTATTTTTGTCCATAACTAGTCTGGTTATGAACTATAACTTGACAAGTTATTATCCATAATTCATGATTTTTATCCATAACTTGTTTAACTATGAATCATAACTTGACAAGTTTGTCCATAACTTATCTAATTATGAATCATAATTTGACAAATTATGACCTATTAATTTTTATAACTAAAAATTAGTCTATATACTTTCTTAAATTTTTTATACTGACTTGTTTTTTACTATTTCTCTTAAAAAAATTTTGGCAGAAGTGGGCCCAAATTCAAGAAAAAGAAAAAGAAAATTCAAGAAGTTGGGCCCAAGTGTTGCCTTTTTATTTAAATTAATTTAATCCAAGTCATTGATCGGCCTCATCAAGCTTGAAGTCAGCGTGGCGTGGTTTATTGTGCAAATTGGGCTGATTATTTTTAGACCTTTTCCTATTCAAATTTGGCAGTTTTTTCATTTCGTTTATTCAAATTTAAAATTTAAGAAAATATTTAGTTTGAGGATTCAAATCATGATTTAAATCATGATTTATGATTTATTATATTATTTTCTCTCACAAAAAATACACGTAAATTAAAAATAATTCTAATTCATGAACCAAACGGCTCTTAAGTTTTCTTACAGTAAAAGACTTTTAAAAAGTCACATTTAATTTTTTTACTATAGTAAAAAATTTTCATATAAAATTATATTTCAACTCGAATTAAAAATTTAAATCAGCGAATTAAACGGCCTTAAGAGTTTCAAGGGTGGAAAATCCGTGTCTTTCAGGGGCTTTGGCACAAAACTCTCCAAGATACATCGATTGAGCTCTTTAGAAATAGATTCCAATGTAGGGATCTACTACCATTGACATTTCTCCCCATTTATATCTCCTTATTTTTGGTGTTTACTTGATCATCATAGTTTTTTTTTTTTTTTTTTTTTTTTTTTTTTTTTTTTTAAATAGTTTTTCACTTTGGAAGCACTTAATTCAATACTTTATGCTCTTTTAATATGCCTCGATTAAAATAATCTATAACTTACCTAATTTAAGTATTTCTCTAACAATTCTTCAAAATATTATTTTAGTAAGCATAACCTTTCTAGATATATATTTTTAATTTTCACACTTAAACTATAACTTTTTCCTAATTATGCAAGCTAAGCAATTGTTTTTTTTTTTAAGGGTTTCTTTTTTTATATAATTTAATTATTTTAAAATAGCTTGACTCAAGATTTTCTTAAATTTTCACATTCATATTTATTTGACAATTCAAAGTATCAAAGCTAACACGTGTCGTGCACGTGCTTGATCATACTAGTTATTATAATAAGAGGACGCTTGAATTAAAAGCAAACACTATCCACTTTTATTTCCATCAATGAAAAAATAATGATATTATTACCGCTGTGTCTGAACTTTAAAGTTATTTTCAGTTTATCTCTTAAATTTTATTAACTTTCACTTTACTTTTATTTAAATTGTTCTCACTTAACTTTTTATGTTGTAATTTCTATTAAAAACATATAGAAAAAATAGAGTAATCCAGTCACATGGTCTTTCTGTTTAAATTTTTGTTAAAAAACAAATAAAAACTATATGACCACATTTAACCCCCACTTTTTCTATCTAATTTTGACAGAAATTCTTACAGAATGACTTAAATGGGACAAATTCATAACTTTAAGGGGTAAAGTGAGAGTTTTTAAAGTGTAGTGAAAAATGTGGGAATGATCCTAAAATTCAGAAGCGCTAATGAGATTAATCTAAAAATAAAATAAAATTTAGAACAGTCTTTCAAAAAGAAACTTATAAGTGACACTATAACAATTATTTTAAAAAAATATATAACTGTTCGATAGATTATCTACTCCTTGATCGAAATATTTTTTTTTGTCTCATTTTGGTTCTCAAATTTTTGAACGCCGTAAATTACACCCTGAAGTGTGGTCATCGTCCAATGTTTCACCCTTCAATCACAAAAATTGTTAAAAAAATCAAAGGGAGCAAGGGCTATATATGTTTCAGGTTCTAATTTGTAACATTTTGAAATTAATTTAAGTGTCACACGATTGATTTCCATTGAATTTTTAACGATCTTTGTATTTGAAGGACAAAATATGGGATAAGTAACATAATTCGTGGTGCAATTTGTAATGTTAGGAAATTCAGAGACCATGCACGAGGGATGGAATATTTTTATGTTAACCATTATTCAAAAATCTGGGCCAAGCTTGTCAATTAACCATCACCCTTTACAATACAGTTTAACCAAAGTAAACTTGCTATCCACCCAATTTTGAGCCTGTTTAGTTCGCTGATTCGAGTTTTTAATTCGAATTGAGATATGACTTTATGTGAGAGCTTTTTACTGTAGTAAAAATATTAAATGTGACTATTTTTTAGAGCTTTTTACTGTAACAAAACTCGAATTATAAATTCGAATCGGCGAAATAAACGATACTTTTATATATATCTTGCCATGTAATCCGATTGCCAGCTCAGCTCCACTTGTTTAAATAACACGGCTAAAAAAACAACAGTTAAATATCGAGGATGCGACAAAATTCTTCAAAAAGAATATGGTGACAGCATTTATAAACAGACAAAATTATTACATTAATTAAGGCTAAATTTAGCATTTCCAACAAAGTTGGCCAAGATATCGGATGCATATCATTATCATGACTGTTTCAACCAAAAAAAAAAAAAAAACCATGGGCACTCATTTCTCCAATTTTGCAATATCGTTACGTACAATAAAGTTTGAAAAGAAAAAAAAAAAGAATTGTTTATCATGTCGTGGTGAAGTAAGGTATAAATTCTCCCAGGTATATATATATATATTTTATATAAAAATGTAAGGATATTGCAGCAATGATTTTTATGATTAATTAATTGCTATGTTTGTTAGAATATAATTTGCTTTTTGCCAGACAAGAAAAGGGAAGAAGAAACCGGTAGAGTGAAAGTGATTTCACATTTCAAATGAGTGAGCATTGGAATTGCACTTTATTCTAAGAGTACATGCATCAAACTCTCACATTCACTCGCATATTACAATATATATATATATATATATCACTTTATTCTAAGAGTACATGCATCAAACTCTCACATTCACTCGCATATTACAATATATATATATATATATATCACTTTATTCTAAGAGTACATGCATCAAACTCTCACATTCACTCGCATATTACAATATATATATATATATATATCACTTTATTCTAAGAGTACATGCATCAAACTCTCACATTCACTCGCATATTACAATATATATATATATATATATCACTTTATTCTAAGAGTACATGCATCAAACTCTCACATTCACTCACATATTACAATATATATATATATATATATGCGCACACACACATACAAGATATTTATATGGTTGTACATTCGATGTTCGATATGTTTGTCTGTCTTATAACTTGGATGTGCTATAGTAACTTGTTATAAGCTTCCCCAAATTTGTTTTTCCAGCATGAAAAAGCTTCATACTTCCTTCATATTAAACTCAAAACATATATATATATATATACACACGTGTGTGTGCGCGCACATCTGCCGAAGCACTAGGAACATATCACAGCGAAGGAACATATCACAGCAAAAAGTTAAACAAAGTCTTTAACTCAGGTAAGTAAATTTCTCGTTCTGTTCGTTAATTCGAGTTGAGATGTGATGTTGTGTGAGAGCTTTTTATTGTAGCAAAAAAGTTAGATGTGACTGTTTCTGAGAATTTTTTACTGTAGTAAAACTCGAATTCTAAACTCGAATCAGCGAAAAGAACGGAGCCTAGTAGTTAGTTGTTGCATTCTAGTTCCACCACTGCGCTCTCCGGTTCATTCCGTTCATTTCACCGATTCGAGTTTAAAATTTGAGTTTTGCTACAGTAAAAAGCTCTAAAAAAATGTCACATTTAACTTTTTCTGCTACAGTGACAAGCTTTAAGAAAATGTCACATCTTAATTCGAATTGAAAACTCGAATCCGCAAAGTGAACGATGCTTAACTTTTTTGCTACAGTAAAAAACTCTCACATAAATCTCATCTCAACTCGAATCAGCGAACTGAAAGAGCCAAAATGGCTTATATCATGATTACGTATATGATCAATTGTCGAGTGAGATCTTAATTCTTGATTTGAAGTGTATATCAAAGACGATTGGAATGTGATTATGAAATTTCAAAAATGCTTCATCAATTATAGTGTGAAGATTACTAGTTCCTTAAATAAAATACTAGGAGGTAATTTGTAAAAATTAAAAGTTTAGAGACTAAATTAGTGTTACAATGCACATAGTTTATGGATTAACTGAGATAATATAGCCATATTTCTGAGAATAGTTAAGGGAATTATATAACACACTTGTATAAAGTGTGTATATGACCAATTTGTGAGTGTTGGATCTTCATTAATTCGTGCTCACTTTTAAATTGTCCTTTTGTAATTTTCCGTGTAATGAAGAGAAGACCAACAAAATGACAGCTAATGATCATCAGGGGATCATGATCATGTTATTATTGATATTGTGGATGAATTGGAAGCCGAGTACTTTGTGAATTTAACGTCCGACGACTTGTCCATGTCACAAGAGTGTTGCATCTTCAGAATCCCAACCATACTCTATAAGGAAAATTTTCCAATAGCACAAGCAAAACTGGCCCTTAGCCAGTACGTGCAGAATAATGAAGAGTTTTATTCATTATTCATACTCTATAAGTTATCATAAAAAGAGAAAATTATAGCCCGTTTAGTTCGCTAATTTGAGTTTTTAATTCGAGTTGAGATGTGATTTTATGTGAGAGCTTTTTACTGTAACAAAAAAATTAAATGTGACTGTTTCTGAAAGATTTTTACTGTAACAAAACTCGAATTCTAAACTCGAATTGGTGAAGTGAATCGAGTTCATGAGTTTTAGTGAGAAAAAAAATCAATTTAATTGATTTGAGTTTGAGAACAACCATACATTTGGTTAGTAGATTCATACCATGGTTCGAGTTATGGTTCGTGCTCGGTACAATATTTTCTCTTATAAAAAATACATATAAATTGAAAATAATTCTGAATCTATGAACCAAACGTCCACTTAAAATTTTCCTTATAGTATGGTTGAGATTCTGAAGATGCAACACTCTTGTGACATGGACAAGTCGTCGGACGTCAAATTCTCAAAGTACTTAGCTGCCTATTCATCCACAATATCAATAATAATGTGATCATGATCCCCTGATGATCTAGCTTGATGATCATTAGCTGTCATTTTGTTAGTCTTCTCTTCATTACACTGAAAATTACAAAAGGACAATTTAGAAGTGAGCACGAATTAATGAAGATCCAACACTCACAGATTGGTCGTGTACACACTTTATACTAGGATTGTAATTCGGACAGCGACGTGACGATACGATTCGAAACTCGCACGAAATAAATGAGTTTAGGTTTATTTTAAATAAGTACGGATCAAAATCATGTCGAATCCGTAAAACACGATTAAATAACGTGTCATTTTTAAATTGACTCGTCAACCTACAATTAACTCGTCGTAACCTGTTTATTAAACGTATCATATTTAAGTAAAACAAATATACGACTCAATTCCAATCTGTTTATTACTTATTTTACAAATATATGGGCTTGCTCTTTTGAGTGAAAAACTCAAAAAAATGCAACTCGAGTTACAACTTTATTCGAGTTCATGTTCTTTTAAGTTTAAACTTGAGTTCAAACTCGAGTTTAGGACTAAAACTTGAGTTCAAGTTTTCCCTTCAACTTGAGTTTAGAAACTCGAATTCAAATTAATGAATAATATTTTTTCTATTCTTAAAAATGCTATAACTTTTTTGTTTTAATTCTGATTGAGATGATTTTTTTTCTATGCGTTGATAACGAAAAGACGAATAAAACCCGACCCATATACCATATTAAAATTTTTCATCAGCATTGAGTTTTTATTAAAATACTATTTAAATACAAATTTAAGTTTTGACTCACTCAAATACAAACTCAAAAAGATTCTTATCTCAAATCATAATTTAAATGTACACAACTAAACACAAACTCAAGTTATAAGTTCAACTCAAATTATAACTCAAATTTAACTCAAAAATTATATTCAAATTAAACTCTAAAAGAACAAATCCTATGTTTTGTAAACAAAAGGCTGTTACTTTCATCTCTACCGGAGATTTTTATTCAAGTTTAGAATTTGAGTTTTGTTACAGTAAAAAGCTCTCACAAACAATTACATCTAACTTTTTTACTACAGTAAAAAACTCTCACATAAAATTATATCTCAACTCGAATTAAAAATTCGAATCAGCGAACTAAACGGGCCATAAATAAACTAATAAACTAATATTATACAAAACAATTAAACAAAAGGCTGAACAGTTAGAAGCTAGGTTTTCCTCTCTAATTTTTTTTTTCACTCTCTCCACTGGCGCTCGCCCGTTCTTTCTCCTCTCCAGTCTCCACCGCCGCTCCTTCTCTTCTCTCCGCGGCCGCTCCTTCTCTTTACGCTGACCCTCTCTTTCTCTCAGAAGTCACCCACCCTTGCGGCCATACCTCTATTTATTCGCTTCGTCTTCTTCTTCTTCGTCAGAAGTCACCCACCGCCGCTCCTCTCTCTCTCCACCGCCGCTTCTTCTCATTTCTTCGTCTGATCGGCCTTCGTGAAGGGGTGTTCTTCTCATTGCTTTGTCAGATCGGTCTTCAAAGGCTTGCATTCGGCAGCTCCGTTTCTGGTATTTCCCCCGTCCATTTTTTGTTTTGTTTTGTTTTTTTTTTTTTTTCATTTTGATGATTTGATCGATGTTTGTGGTTTTTACTTCTTTTCGTGTTGGTGATTTGATCTGTGTTTATGGTTTGGATTTATGAATTTTTTGTTTATGGTTTGATCTGTGTTTGGACCGATGGTTTAATCTGTGTTTAGGAATATTGGATTTGAGGGAGATTTAGGAAAATGGTTTGTGTTTTCAGTTTTTTTAGGACCGATGGTTTAGGAATATTATTTAGGACCGATGGTTCCTGGGTTTTCTATTGTTTTCAGTTTTTTTAGTTACTCATTTGCAATTTTAATCTGAAATTCCTGAGAAACAGGCAATCCTTGAAGCTAGTAACTAGCTATTCTTAAATATTCCTTTCGATGGTACCGTTGGCCAAGAACCATTGCACTGTACGCATAATATTCAACCAATGTAAAAACAAAGTAACTAGCTTATTTTTTCTCAAAGTTTTACTTTTGGCTAATCTTAAGCGAGCCATTATCCTACAATAAAATAACCAAATAAGTACATTTAAATTGGAATTAGAAAAGGTAAAACTTTGATGAATTAGTAAGCATTTGGCTCAAAATCCTTATGAAAAGCAATCTTTTATCATGTAGTGGTGGAATCAAATTTGAGAAACCATACAATAAAAACAAGTTGTAGGGACAAATTAACTAGATAAGTGCATAAACGGGCAAAGTTAAGAGAACTAACTCAATATTCTCTAGATATACATTAGTAACCCAAGATTAAGACAACTAACCCAGTATTCTTTTGTTCGACTCAAATCATTTCCCCTTCTTTTATTAATATTATTATATTTTGAGTATTAAACATATGCAACTTGCCTAGCTATAAAAGCTAAAGTATTATTTTCAATATTAATTGTGGTGAGATTTTCTTATCTTTTAAAGTAATATTTTCAATATTAATTGTGGCGAGATTTTCTTATCTTTTCATCAGACTTTGTTCACAGTACGTATACATTCAACTTTGGACTAATTTCTCAACTAGTATAGTATACTTTAGCTAGTTTTCTTTTAGATAATACTAAATGACCTCATATTTCCATCATCTATACAGTTATAATTCTATAACTTTCAGTTAAGAAATCCACATCTTTATAAGATAGGTTCTATATTTTAGCAACGAACCCTTATTTTTTTTGGATATAGAAAAAAGCAATACGTGGCTGAGAAAAATACAATCATAAAAAAGAAAAAAAAAACCAGGAAAGACAGTGAAAGAAATTCCTCAGCCCCAAATTGAGAAAATAATAAGCAACAAACACAAAATCAAAGGCTTTCTAAAACATTCAACGATAAAGCATACAATGTTTTTAGTACCCAGATTACTTTGGCCCTAAAATGAGAAGAAAATCATATGCAATCTCACGCTCACATTAGAACGAGAGAAGAATAAGGAAGCAAGGAGAGGGATGGAAAAAATAAGACTGTACCTGCTCAGATTCAATGGATTGACGAACGGTCGTTTATCGTCGCTGGAGACAATCGTTGATGGACCTTCCGTGAACTGTCGGCATTGATGATGGTGCTTCGCCTCAGTTGGAGTGATAAGCAGTCGAGAGGCAGTAATGGAGGCGAGGGTTTTTTTCTCTCTCGATCGCGAAATTTTGAGAAGGGCAATTTGGGGAAAAAGATAATTAGGGCTGAATGGAAAAGCCTTTCCACTCCCCCTCCTCATGTGAACCATGATTCACTTAAATTGGGTGAACAGGCTTTCAGTTAGAAAGGCTTTTCTAATTTAGGTCTCGTTCATTTTTACCGATTCGAGTTTTTAATTTTAATTTTACTATAGTTAAAAGCTCTCATAAAAGTCACATGTAACTTTTTCTGCCACAGTAAAAATCTCATATAAAATCACATCTCAGCTCAAATTGAAAACTCGAATCAACGAATTGAATGAGGGTTTAGATTTGTCAACCAAATGATGGAATTAGACCCTTTTTTTAAAATGGCCTTTCCTTTCCATTCCCTTAACGAATTTTAGAATAAACTTAAAAAAAAAAAAAAAAAAAACTAATGATAGAATTGTTTTTTCTCTTTTTTTTTCATAGATTTACTTAATGCTTGTGAATATTTAGGTAATATTTGTATGATTTGAGAATCAATTTGAGACTTTTAAAATGATAATTAATGTCATGAGTACTTGTAGGATAGAGATATACTTATAAACTTGTGTAGTCTATTGAGTTTCCTTGTTCGTAATGGATTTCGATAGGTTAAAGGATTTTCATAAGGATATAAGAAATCTGCTTGTTAGGATAATTTAGCTTTTGTTCGTAATGGATTTCGATAGGTTAAAGGATTTTCATAAGGATATAAGAAATCTGCTTGTTAGGATAATTTATTAGTACTCGGAAGAGATTAGCAAATAGGTTAGAGATACTCGACTAACAACAATAGGAATAGGCTTAATTAATTGATTTAGAAATTTCATTTATAATTAGTGTGGTGAATCGACTCCCTAAAACATTATTACTTTTAACAAGTGAAAAGTAGAAAAAATTAAGGGCAAAATGGGAAAGAAAATATTCCATGACAACTACCTGCTTTAAGACGCTTAGTTTTGACTACCACGAACACAATCATCAGCCAATTTTTTCACCAATAGTTGTTAATTGGCAGTCCTCTAAATCTTTTCTAAGAGGTTATCGTATTGTATTTTTTTTTTTTTTTTTTTCTTAATTAGCGAGGAAAGTGGGCAAGTAGACAAATTCAATAATGAAGGCAAGTGGACAAATACAATAAAAGCTAATCAGAGAAAAAAGTAAAAACAAAAAAATAAAAGGGGCATAATGGGAAACAAAAATTAATAGACATGTACTTATTTAGGGCCCGTTTAGTTCGCTGATTTGAGTTTTTAATTGTATAAGTGTAAAATGCCCTTCATTCGAGGCTTACATCTCGCCTCAATTAGACAAAATGCCTTGGTTCTCGATTATGTCTTTTGAAACTTCTTATGAAGTAACTTCTATTTTGTTCTTTAATTTTTTATTTCCTTAATTGTTCATAAAATGATATATAAAAGTAAAAATGCAAAAGTAAGCTTTTTAAGGTTCAAAAAAGAGGAAAAAATAAAAGATTGATTTTGCATTTGATGTCCCATTTATGTGAAACACGTACCTTATCTTTTTATGTTTTGCAAGTTCTTGTTACTTTTTTTTGTTTTAATTGAATTTAATCTAGATGTGTGTGCTTATTCTAATTTGAGTGCCTTTTTAAGGGGGAGAAAATGCCGCTAGGATTGATATTAGGTTTGGGAAGGGCGTTTAGGAGAAAGAGAACATCATCACTTGACATTCTCTCTTCAAAGCGGGCTCCAAGGGATTACTATAAGGGAAAGAACTGCAAGCCAACAGGGTTCCATACCCGCAAAGGTTTGATTGTCTACCTTGCTTGTATCTTGACTGTAGTTACAAATTTATTGACGTCCTGTTTGTGGTGTGGCCGGTTATTCCATTAGTAATTTTTTCCAGGAAGTTCGAAAAATGAAACTACTGTCCTTAGGAGCTAATACTAACTTCATTCTGAGATTTAAATCGAGTTTTCTGCCACAGCTCTCTATTGCTTGCTTAAACCGTTTTTTTTTTTTTTTGTTTACCCCTGAAATGTGAATTCAGGATGCCTCATATGTCATCTTTCACAACTTTGTCTGTTAGATTCTTTCTGAGTTATGTTATAACTTGTATAGTTGAAAGCGGGTTGTTCTTTGTCGTTGATGGTTCTTAACTTGAATGTGGTGCAGAGAGCCTGGGAAAATTTGAAATTAACTTTCAATTGGAGGGTGGAATCATCATTCCAAACCCTCCAATTGAAAGTTCATTGGAGGGTTTGATACGATGCAAGTTTGGATAGGGAGCAAATACAGACAATTTCAAAACAACAAGCTCACTATCTTAATCTGATAAGCCTCGGGTTCTATGACAACCATATGCTATACCATGAAACACAACATTTAGAGAAGCGAAACACAAAGCTCTTAAAAGACAACAAAAAGAGCTAAAATACTAAAGAGTTGCTAACTCAAACCTAGTGCCGAAAAATTGGGCCGGGCTAGACGGGCCGGCCTAAAGCCCGTTACTGTGGGCCCGGGGACTGGCCCGGCCCGAATCCATACAAGCCCGAACCCGGCCCTAGTGTAGGGCCGGGCTGGGCGGTAATTCCAGGCCTGCAGGTGGCCCGAGCCCGGCCCGGAGAGCCCCCGAATAGCCCGAAATGGCCCGGCCTGGGCCCGAATGGTTAATGAGCAGCAGACCGCTGGCTGCTGCAGGCCTACAGCCACACTGTTGGGCTGGTTGCAGCCTGCAGCCCAAAGGCTAAGCCTAATTTTTTTTTTCTTTATTGTTTACTTGTTTTTGGCCCAACGGTAATATTACCGTTGGGCTGACTCACTGCCGGCAGTGAGTCTAAAGCAGAGGGCTGAAGCCCTCTGCTATTTTTTTTCTCCCCAAAAATTCATAAATTTTATCTATAAATACCCTCTCTATTAACCCATTTTTTTCACACAACACAACTTTCACTCTCTATTCTCTTCGTATTCTCTAATTTTTTCTCAACTCTCAATTCTCACTCACATTAATTCTCTTGGAGGGGGTATTTATAGATAAATTTATGAATTTTGGGAGAGAAAAAAAAAATAGCAGAGGGCTGTAGCCCTCTGCTTCAGACTCACTGCCGTGAGGCAGTGAGTTAGCCCAACGGTAATATTACGGTTGGGCCAAAAACAAGTAAACAACCAAGAAAAAAAAAATTTAGGCTTGGCCTTTGGGCTGCAGCCAGCCCAACAGTGTGGCTGCAAGCCTGTAGTGGCCAGCAGCAGACCAACTCCTTAACCATTTCAGGCTCAGGACGCCTACGGGCCTGGAATTACCGCCCAGCCCGGCCCTACACTAGGGCCGGGCTCGGGCTTGTACGGATTTGGGCCGGGCTGGTCCCCGAGCCCACAGTAACGGGCTTTGGGCCGGCCCGTCTAGCTCGGCCCAAATTTTCAGCACTATTCAGTATATATAAATTGTAACTGTGAAAATAATACTGCACTCTTTTTTCCTTACCAAGGTTTTATCTTAATAGGTTTTTCTTGGTAAGATTTTTAATGAGGCAGTTATAATTACATAAATAAAGTCTTATTCCATTAAAATTTTACAATATTCACTATTTATTATAAATTTCGTTATTTTTTTTTTAATTTTTATAAATCATGCTCGGGCCAGACCGAGCCGATTTGGGCTGGTCCGGCCCGATATAAAGTTATTTAGGGCCAGGCCGGGCTGGCCCGGCCCGATTAAAACTACGGGCCAGCCCCCGGCCCTAACTACCCTTTCGGGCTGCCGGGCCCGGGCCGGGCAGCCCGAATTTTCAGCTCTCCTCAAACCACAAGAAATTAAGGCAATGGGAATTGTACAAAAAGCGACAGCACACTATCGTTTGAAATGCTCCTGCATCAGAACCTCAACATTTTTCATATGATAACAAACGTGATTTCAGGTTTGTGATGTATAATACATAAAAAGGATATGATGTGCTTGATTCTGTGGTTGTTTAGAAACTAGCTTAACTTTAGGTTTGCTATTATTCCTTTAATCTAGCTCACTGCCCAATTTCCTCCATTTTACTGCTCCTTTAGGCATTGAAACGTATTTCTGGTGTCGAGGAAGGCCCTTTTTTACTGTAGCAATTTATAGGAAATAATATAACCTTGTGTAAGAACCACCCCCCCTGATTTCAGGTTTGTGATGTATAATACATAAAAAGGATATGATGTGCTTGATTCTGTGGTTGTTTAGAAACTAGCTTAACTTTAGGTTTGCTATTATTCCTTTAATCTAGCTCACTACCCAATTTCCTGCATTTTACTGCTCCTTTAGGCATTGAAACGTATTTCCGGTGTCGAGGTAGGCCCTTTTTTACTGTAGCAATTTATAGGAAATAATATAACCTTGTGTAAGAACCACCCCCCCTGATTTCAGGTTTGTGATGTATAATACATAAAAAGGATATGATGTGCTTGATTCTGTGGTTGTTTAGAAACTAGCTTAACTTTAGGTTTGCTATTATTCCTTTAATCTAGCTCACTACCCAATTTCCTGCATTTTACTGCTCCTTTAGGCATTGAAACGTATTTCCGGTGTCGAGGTAGGCCCTTTTTTACTGTAGCAATTTATAGGAAATAATATAACCTTGTGTAAGAACCACCCCCCCTGATTTCAGGTTTGTGATGTATAATACATAAAAAGGATATGATGTGCTTGATTCTGTGGTTGTTTGCTGACTTCCCAAACCTAAACCACTGAAAGAATTGGTAAAATGAGTTCGTATGCGATGCAAGCAAAAGATTAGTGCGCTGAAGAAGATGTGGAAACATTTCCTCTGAATTCTTTCCCATGGTATCTTGAAAGCTATTCCTTTTAGGATAGGAAGAAAAATTGTATCAAGTTGATGTTCTTGTGACTTCACGGCTTAAGATATATGGTTTTTGTGTAACTCTTAATCGTCAAAATAATCCTCAAGAAGGGAGATGTGGAAGTTGATGCTAGTTACGTGATGTTTTATTACTGGGAACCCAATTCTGAACTAGAAACTCTAAATTGGTATTTTCATTATATGTGATTGTTTATAATGTGAAAAGAATGTTGCTGCAGGTGGTTATGTTGTGGTGAAAGAAAAGCTACCAAATTATGTAGTCCCGGACCTGACCGACTTCAAGGTACCGTCTTTTTTCTCTTGGCCTAGAAGTTAGATTGTGCTTCATTCTATTTCTTGCTGAGTATGGATGAGAGAAAAGTAGTACCACTGATGGTTAAGCAAATCTTTCTAAACAATGTAACTTCCAAAAGATCTAATAAAGCTGAATGTAAAATTCATTGGTTTATATATATATATATATATATATATATTATTCACGTTCCTATTTTTGCAGTCTGTTTGGGGATATAACTAAATTTCCTTGCATGTCCAGTGAGGATAAAATTTTAATGAGAACCTTGCAGGACAATTCACTTTAAATTACTCCAAACAAATTAAAGTATATTCTAAACATACAAACAACATACAAGAAATATCATTCTTGTATGTATATTTATGTATACGAGTTATCCTATTTTGTGGTTGTACTTGTTTATATTCTTCTCTACAAGATGATTTACATTGTGTCATTGTCAATGATCAGAATTTTACCATTATACAACTAGAGTTACTCTTAGTAGTGGAATACAGAAACTCTACATTTTCTATAGGTTTGCGTATTCTCTTCATGTGTTTTGTTTGCAGCTAAGAACTCATTTAATCCCTCTCTTATTGCAGCTAAAGCCATACGTGTCACAGTGCCCAATAGAAGTTAAAACCGCTGAGGCAGGTGGTGCAGCAAAATAATCCAAATAATCCAATGTGTTTCTGCTCTTGACTCCCAATTTTGATACCTTGAGAATTTGAATTTTTTGTCATAATAGGAAAAGCATGAGAAACATTTAGAAATTTAACGTCAATGTAAAATTTATGAGTACTGTTTGATGCATATGTTATTTAGTACTGTTTGAATTGAATAAATATCAGTGATTGTTCTTTTTTATATAACTTCATGAAATTCAAAAAGACGTATCAGAAGCGCTCTCTTAATATTTTGCATAGGTAATAGTGTAAGTTTAAAAATGGGAGAAAGAGAAAAATAAGCAAAGACTTGAGATGAATTTAAATTAATAGGTCAATAGTTTACATAAGTTAATAAATAGGTTAAATTATTATTTTCGTCCATAATTTGTCTGGTTATGAACTATAACTTGATAAGTTATTGTTCATAATTGTCCATAATTTGTTTGGTTATGAATCATAACTTGACAAGTTTTTTCATAACTTATCTGGTTATGAACCATAACTTGACAAGTTATGACTTATTAATTTTTATAACTAAAAATTGGTCTATATACTTTCTTAAATTTTTTATATTGGTCTATTTTCTATTATTTTCTTTTAAAAATCTTGACGTTTGCCACAACTACAGGAACAAGTTGATATCTTTAACCTTTAATGAAACATTTCCACGGAAACTTTTATGATTAAACACCATATTAATATTTGATTAATCTAGTTAGTATCTGATTTCGTGCTAAGTGAAGATCAAATGGTTATCTAGGTCTTTAATTATCGTTTAATAATTCTCAAATTAACTAGTTAAATTTATTTTCTAATTGACTCCAATGTCTACCAGCAAATACTTTTTTGGTCGCAACTATTTTATCGACAACATATACTATATGGGCACAACTTATCATAATTCAAATTTAATAATCAGTAGTTCTTGTATAAAAAATTAGTGTCTTATATGCTTTTACAATTTAATATAATTTTAATCAAATATAATAATAAAAAAATTGACCATTCAATAAAAAAATTATGTTACTAAGGCCTCGTTCACTTCACGGATTAGAATTTTCAATTTAAGTTGAGATGTGACATTTTTTTAAAGCTTTTTACTGTAATAGAAAAAGTTAGATGTGATATTTTTTGAGAGCTTTTTACTGTAGAAACCTAAAATTAAAAACTTGAATCGGTGAAATGAACGAGGCCTAAAAGGATGTTTGGTTCACAGATTTAAAATTATGATTTAGAATTATTATCGAATTACGTATATTTTTTTAAAAGAAAATATTATAACGAATTACGAATTATAATTTAAATCATGTCACGAATTTTTGTACCAAATACCCTCTAAAAGTCCCGAATATAATTAGGACCACTGAAAAGTTATTTGTGAAAAGTGCCCTTACTAAAAACCAGCACCCCTGAAATTCGATCCACGTGCTGATTCTCCTACATTAAAAAATAGTAGTATTGTCATTTGTGGGTATCTGTTGGCTTAAAGGTAAGACGGCCAAGATCCATTGAAGTATCATTCCACCAACTAATTCTTAAATTATAAGAAAATTAAAATAAAATCTAAGAAACGTGATCCGGGTGGTAGGTAGAACTAGAACCGTGGAAGAAGAGTAGGCTCATGATAAATTAAACAAAAATATCATGATAAATTAAACAAAAATGGTTTTCATCCTATTGGATAATACTCATTACTTATAAAATAATAGGTGCGTTCACAATTAGTTTTAAAATGATTTTATTTTCAATACAAAGTAAAAATGAGATTATTTTGAGAATCATTCTGTGACCGATTTTAAAATTGCGTTTAGTTAAATTTTTAAGACATTATTTTGAGTATAATAAAAAAGTGAAATCGTGTTTATTAATTAATATATTATAATATTTATTGATAAGTACTAAAAAATGAAAATAGAAAAGTGAAGACGACTTTCAATTATTTTTTCAGTCCACAAAAACCATTCTCACTGTTTTCGTTTTCAAAACATTTACTAAACAAACGTCGTTTCATTTTCATTTTTATTTTTTACTTCTCAAATTGTTGACATAAATCAACCACATTCACCGCTATGATATAAAAAGGGCAATAATAAATTGAGCCAAAAAAAAAAAGACAATAAAAGTAGTTTTGTTATTTTGGCTAATAACTTCCACTTTGAGCTTTTATTTTTTTATATAGAAAATTATACTATTCATTCATCAAAAATAACAATGATGACTCCAAGTTTTTAAAAGTAATTATTCAAGAAATCTTTTAGAGAGAAAGTTATAGAAATGTGCTTTGCAACAAAGTTAGAAAGGGTTTTTTTGGGTTGGTGGTTCAGCTCTTCATTAGGCTTCCGGCCTTCAAAGTTTGTCAGAGAGATTGTAGAGGTCACCAACGTCGAGTTCGTACCAACGGAAGTGTAAATAGTCATCGATATGGAGTTGTTTAAGGAAAAACAGTTTCTGATCTTCTACCTTATATTTAGGACACGTTCGCTGCAGGTTTCCATTGAAATTTCAAGAACTAGATTGTGGAAAGGAGGTGAGGAAGGTAGACTGGAGCGTGTCGTAGCCGCCGCTCGCTGGTGGCAGCGCGTGGGACCTATGCACCGCCGTGGCTCCGGTGCTTTTGTCGCCGTTTCGGAGTTTTTTTTCGGCGCCACTCCTACCATGCTTCACACACCTTTGGTGTTGAGAGGCTTAATTTTGCTAGTTTTATCTCTTGGGATTTTTGTAGAGTTTTTTCTGTTTTATGTTTTTGTTTGTATTGTAATAACGGTGATGGTTTTCCCATTACTGGCGTTATGTATTGATTAGAGGGCGGTCGCCCTACTGCTCTAAGTCTGAGTTATGTACTCCATTCATTTCACAAATTCGAGTTTTACTATAATAAAAGGCTCTCAGAAACAGTCACATCTAACTTTTTTGCTACAGTAAAAAGTTCTCACATAAAGTCACATCTCAACTCGAATTAAAAACTCGAATCATCGAACTAAACGGGTGACACTTGTTGAAGGAGTTCTCTCCGTTATTAGGTAAAATGTGTGTTTATATTGTCTAATCATGTGAGTATCATCTATTTTTTTTATTGGTAATGTTCTGTATCTTAATTTTTTAATGAAGTTATGTTATTGCCTTTAAAAAAAAGATAACAATGATGCTGCAATTATTCATTTAATAATTTGAGAAAATGCTAACAGCAAAGATTATGCTAAAAAAAAAAATGAGAAATAGTTGCATTTCAATAATCCATTTATAAGGTTCTAATAATACAGGGAAAGATCCAATAATTTGATTCCATTGAAATTTTCATTTCAATTTTTTTAAATAAAAAATATGATCTATAAAGTAATACAATTTTAGTAACATTAGTGATGGTCACAAATTTAAGTAAAACTTTACTCTCAAAAAATTAAATTTAAGTAAAACATTAGTGATATCTATGAACTGACTTTCTTATTTAATTATAAAAAAGTCGACCGCTTTTTTTTGTTGAGGAATTTGCTGTTGTTCATAATTAACGTCTTCGTTAGCTAATGAACAAGACTTTTCTTTTATTACTTTGGAAATTCTCCCCTCTTATGTTTTTTTTTTTTTTTTTTTTTTTTTTTTTTTTTGGTTTTTTTAATTTTTCACAAAACCTGCTATATTTACTACAATTAATTTTAAACCCACCCATTTTGAAAATCTTTTTTTTTTCTTCCACTAATTAACCACTATAAGTTTGAGAGAATCTTTATGGGATGAAAAAACATAAATTTATACATTAGCAAAAAAGAAAAAAACATAAATTTTTAAGGGTGCGTTTGGTAGCTGGATCTTAGTTCATAATTAATTCTGAATCATGATTCATAATCAGTATTTAGTTTGGATAATTCTGAATCATGATTCGTAATCTGATGTGATGTTTTAAACTAGCTCAAATCATGATTTTAAAACCACTTCCCTCTTGATTCAAGGTGATTCAAACTTCTGACTCTGAATCATGATTTGAATTCAAAATCATGAATAATAATTCTGATTCTAAAATCATGATTAAAATAACTCTAATTTAAATTCTTGTACCAAACGAATCCTAATAAAACACAGGGTTATTTATGTAATAATTGTTTTTCTAACTTTGGTGGTCGTCGTCAATTTTGTTGGAAATTAAAATTAGTCCCAACAATCTGAAATTACCAAAAAGTCCCCTCACCAAATCCACCACAATTGCCACCTACCCTTCTAAGCACGGTGGTTGGTGCGGTTTTTGCTTTGTCATCTGCCACATACTTATCCAAAAGTCTTCCTATTCACTTTTTTTTTTTCGATAATTTTTTTTTGTCCTTTATTAGTTGCAACTAAAAAAACGACACCAAGAAAATTTCTGTATTTCTTTTGAGAGGAAAAAAAAAAAAGAAAACCCACAAGAGAGAAACCGCCAACCCTTGAACTCCTCTGGATTCAAATCGCGTTGTGCTTCGAAAGAAGAATTTTTTTTTTATTCTGGTACTTTGGATTCATTATTTTTTGTTTAATTTTCTTCTGCAAATGTATTTTGGAGTTTCAATTATTCGATTTATGCGCTTATTTGTTCAGCTCCTTCTCTGTTGTCCCATAAAATTTCCATTGAAAGATGTTTCTTTTTGTTGAATCTTCAGATTTTCACATTTTCTCAGCATCCAAACAGGGGATTTTATTATTCAGTTTCTTCGGAATCCGCTATTGTCGATATTGCGCGCTTGTGTGATTAATTCGAGTTATCGGTGAAATAGAGCGAGTCCGAAGGTCAAATGGAGGCTCGAGTTGCTCAGACGTTGCAATTTTCCGCCTGGATTCCCTCGGAAAAAGTTGTAAGGAGACCGAGCGGTTCGGTTCCGGTTTCCCGGACATTGAAGGATCAGAGAAAGCTTCAGGTGATTGTTTCGGCTCGCTTTCCAACGTCAAAGGCGTCTGATCGACCTAGAAATGCCGCTTTGGAGGTGTCCTGTTCTTATAAGAACTTTCCAGGTAATTTATGTACTGCACATAACATATTTTAGTTGCATAATGCCTAATTTTGTTTTATGTTTTACGACTTTTTTAATCTCTGTCTGTATTTGCTAACTAAGCCAATTCCCTAAAGTTGCATAAAAGGATGAATTTTTTTGGTTCATTTTGTTGCTATTTCGTGGAAGTTGATCATGTTGAAGTTAAGGGGGAAAAAAAATCAAAAGTCTGTTTGCCGAAGAACAAAAACAAATATGTTTTTTCATTGTTTTGCTGTACTGGCAATTGGAACAACATATTTTTCATTACTTGCGATTACAGACTTTGTCATGGTAGGTGATTGTTAAGCAATGCTACTTCTACCTATGAAATGCTACATTTTCGTCTTAGACTAAGTTACCATACTCATTATGTTGAACACAACACTAGTGGGCACAAAATAACTTCTATTATTAATTATAATAAGAAGTACATCAAAACCACACAAATTAGAAACTCTAAGTGCCCGTTTGGTTCATGCATTTAATCCAGTGATTCTTGATTTTGACATTTGGAATTCTTTTGTGAGAGGAAAACACTGTAGCAGAATCAAAACCACGGGTTTAAACGCATGAAACAAACGAGCCCTAAAGAAACTAATATTGGGCACACTCACAGTATTTCACTCGGCACACTAACTAAACAACAGAAAGCTCATATTAATCACTGAATACTACTCTTTGCTATTGCCTTTTTGTTTCTGCCACGCTCCACCTGAAGGGAAGTGAGCCTATTTATAGTTGAAGCAAGTCATTGGATGGTTGACACTTGGAAGATATCAATGGTACAAAAGCAATTTCCTGGAAGCTTCTTAGCTTCTTATGCACGCTTCAAAACTCAATCAGCAAGCACATTAATATTGGACCTTGTAGTCATGGGCGTTACTTTGGGCCGAGGTTGATCTTCAATACTCCCCCTCAACACCGGCTTTCGATCTTTCTTGATTTGTCATGTTGAGCTAGCGTCGAAACTTTTCAAACTTGCTAGTATTCAGTCCTTTCATTAACAAATTTGCAACTTGATCATCTGTCCTGACATGGTGGATTTTTATTTCTTCTTAACACCTTTTCTCTAGTGAAGTGGTAAAACACTTCCACATGCTTTGTTCTCGCATCAAACACTGGATTTTCCGCCAAACGGATTGCTGAAGTGGTATTGCATAATCAATGGGTTGGTGTAGATCTTCCATCAACTGTATCAACCATGGGCTTTCCTGAGCTGCCATTATCTGCTGCTCTATACTCATCTTTTGTGGTTAATAGTGAAATTGTTGGTTGTCTTTTGTTACACCATGAAACTACTCCGGAGCTGAGTTTGAACACATATCCAATTGTCGACCGACGCGTGTCATGATCTCCTGCATAATCAACGTTGCAGTAGCCAACCAACTTACAATCTTCCGCTTTCTTGTACAAAAGGCCGTAGTCGATTTTACCTTTGACATATCTCAGAATTTGCCGAACTGCCTTTAAGTGAGACTTCTTAGGATTCTACATGTACCGATTCACTTCGCCAACTACAAATGAGATGTCAGGTCGAGTCAAAGTTAGGGAAGTGAGCCTATTTATAGTTGAAGCAAGTCATTCGATGGTTGAAACTTGGAAGATATCAATGGTACAAAAGCAATTTCCTGGAAGCTTCTTAGCTTCTTATGCACACTTCAAAACTTAATCAACAGGCACATTAATATTGGACCTTGTAGTCATGGCCATGGGCCTTACTTTGGGCCGGGGTTGATCTTCACGTTACGCGATATTTACGTGTAATTGAGTAAATCCGGTTCTTGTAGAATGAAATGCTTACGTCTTAATAATATCCTGCATAGTTACGTAGGAAGTTGAAGAATTAGGTTCAATGATATTACTATGGTTCTTATTAAACATTGGATTGGAGAATTTCTAGAATCACTTGATATTGAGAAAAGCTACTATGAATAGCATACTTAAGATATTCTATGGAGAAGATAATGAATTGAGAGGGAAAAATTTACACAGCAGAAGGAAGAGAGAGTGAGAGCTTGATAAGGTTTTTACTTGTTGTGTTAATAATTTGTAACTTTTAGGGATTGGGTTTCCGACTTTCCATGTCTTTAAGACCACTGGTCATGGACGCATCATTTTGAATTTTACGTTTTCATGACCGTGTGCTTGCAACTTCAAGAGCTTAAATCAATACTGTTTGTAGCGCAGACACTCCCCCCACATGCATCTACGAGATGTAATCCCTTGAATTTTCAGTATTAACTTATATAAATAATTGCCCTTGTAGGTTCGGTAGTGGAATCCGAAAACTATAATGCATCTATTGATGAAGCTCTACTTCTGAAGGTATGCAATGAAACATTTCCTTTTCTAGTTTATGTGGCTCATCAGGTCTCAGGTCTTTATTTTATTTATTTATTTTTAGATTGCTCATCAGGTCTTGTAATGCAAAATCTTTTGTTTCTTTTAGCGACTTTAGTTTTAGAATCTATTCTGGTAGGTTGTTCTGCAAATTACAAACATAAATTGACATTAAATTGATACTTTATTCTTTACAAATGTGGGTCGGTGCTTTGCTTCTTTTCTTTGTTGTTTTAGTATTCATCTTACTGTAAGTTAATAATATTGCAGAATAAGTCAGAAGAGATTGGGCCATATTTAAATGGGCGTTGCATATATCTTGTTGGTCAGTCTCTTTTTTGAATTATTTACTTCTCTTTTTTTGAATTATTTACTTTGAGAAGTTATTTAATCATCCTTGTTCCTGAAGAAGATTGTAATCTACTAAACGCAGGTATGATGGGCTCTGGAAAAACAACTATTGGAAAGATTTTGTCAAAGGCACTTGAATATTCCTTTTCTGATTGGTTTGTACCCTGAGTGACTATTCTCAGTATGCTTACCATCTCAAAATCTTCACACTCCAGCTGGATGCCTGGATCATGAAGATTTTCTATTCATCGCTCTAGAAACATATTCTTTTATAACTTTCTTCTTCTACATTTCTTTCTAAGGTCTCCATTCTGAAGCTTAAAATTAAATTGTGAGTGCAAAAGTTTTAAACTAATATGGAGGACTCTTTAAAGGCTGTGCGGATGAAACTCAAAAAAAGTTATTGTGGTCGAATGAATCTTTTCTAAATCTTGGCACATCTAATTTCTAGGGTCGAACTTAATCTTCGGAAGTTGTACCATGCCCATTTTCATATTTTAGCAACGATCGTCTATATCGTGCACATATAAATCATTCTGAATATTCTGCTTTTGTTATGTCTGTGGATGCTCCAGTGACACGTTGGTGGAGCAAGAAGCTGGGGGAATAGCTGTGGCTGACATTTTTAAGCTCCATGGAGAGGGCTTCTTCAGAGATAGGGAGGTAGGTTAGAAAGTGTTGCTATTCATACACTTGTATTTTTTTTTTTTCGTTTTATGTTGCTCACAAAGGTAGGCGTACTAGCGGCCTGAATGTGGACTTGCATTAAAGTTAGTTTATACACTTTGAAAGAAAATAATGAAAAAGTAGTTTTTTATTTTTTATTTTTGTTTTTTATTTTAATTTTTAATTTTTTTCAGAAAGAGTATTTGTGGTCCTATCTTATAGATTTATGTCGATGGAAAAAAGTTCTCCACTGACAACGGGACGATTGGATATTGTCCATGCAAAAGTTCTTTGTGGGAATAATATAATCTTTTATTAGTCAAGGTCTTCTCTGAATTTATGTTAAACAACACAAACCAATAGAATTTGTTCCAATATTGGCTTCAAACTTGACTGCACAAATCTTTTTAGCAGTTTATTATTATTTATGAGATACGAAATTAAAATCGATTATCATGTTCTACATAGTGTGTAAATCTTAGTTCGTTCTATTGCCATTACTCATAGAGGATCCTTTGAACATTAGTGTATCAACAGGGGAGGAAAGTGGGGATACTTACTCATAACTCATCACTAGATATAATTAAGCTGTGCCCAAATTATATTTCTTGTCAACAAACTATTTGTGATAAAAGTATTTCTATCTCCAAAAGTATGTTATTTAAGGCTTAAACTTTGTTTTTTTGAGAATAGTGGAGGCCAAAACTTTTATTCAGACAAGCTTGTGTGAACATTTCATGGGAGTTTTATGATATATTGCTTTTCAATTTATATCTGTCCTATAATAGTTGTGGAAAACCTTATTTTTTATTTATTTATTTTATTTTTCGTATTGGTCCATGTATCCAAAACCTAAAACGTACTCTTATGCAACCGTCTTGTAACTATTATCATACTTTTGGCTTTTAGACCGAGGTACTGCGGAAGCTATCATTAATGCATCGTTTTGTTGTTTCCACTGGTGGAGGGGCAGTTATTCGGCCAATCAACTGGTATATCACCCCCAACCCTAACACACACACACACACACACACACCACTTATTTTATTTCTAAGTGCAGCTGCTTTCTGTTTACTTCAGTAGTAAATAACAAACGTTGATTGTTTTGTTTTATCAGGAAATATATGCACAAGGGTGTAAGCGTCTGGTTAGATGTACCTTTGGAAGCCTTGGCTCAAAGAATTGCTACTGTTGGTACTGGTTCTCGCCCTCTTTTGCATCATGATTCAGGAGATGTATACACCAAGGTAGCATTTCCTATTACATAGTTTATTAGCCTTTCATTTTCTTAAAACTGTTTGGATGATGATTGATAATACAAAACTGTGATTGCTTGTTAAAAAAAAAAAAAAATGAAGATAATTGGCAATATGATTGACAACATTAAACAAGTTTCTCCTCACTTGAACACTGACAATATGACTTCCTCGCAGACTTTCATGCGTCTGTCTAGTCTTTTTGAAGAGAGGAGTGAAGCATATGGCAATGCCAGTGCCAGGGTTTCTTTGGAAAGTAAGTCGTACAAGGGTCCTCTCCTACAGTTATGCTTGCCCTTTTCACCGTCAATTTTTATATGGAAGGAGCTACAGGGAAATTTTTGTTTAAAAAAAAAAAAGACAAAAAAGACAAAATTTAAAAGATATAATTGAAACTTTCAAGTATTTTCTGAAATAGATAATTGCTAGTGTTGTGCCGTGCTAATATTATTTTAAATGTTTTTTTTTTTTTTTTTTTTGCAAATTCCTGATTGCTTCTCATATAAAGTGGAAAATGATATGGGTTTGTCTCAATGTTCTTTAGAAGCACTGAAGGCTATTGTTTCCATTTCACAGATATTGCAACCAAATTTGGAGAAATAGATGTGTTGGATATCACCCCTACTGCTATTGCAATTGAGGTCTATCCCGTTTCTCCTTGCTCTTTGTGCAATATTCACTTTTCACTGAACATAAGTTGTTGCCAACCCTAGAATTAGGAGCTAATTGAGATTAAGGCAGATAGTTACGTTTTGAAGCATTTTTAAACTTGGTTTCTATCATGTCTTATAATTATTTTACATATCTATTTTTTCAGGCGCTCGAACAAATTCTCAACTTTCTGAAGAAAAAGGAAGGTAATGCATTCTGAATAAAAACTAATTCAGCATGCAAAGGTATGGTGATATTTTACTGTTCTGTCTTTTAAGTAAAAGCATGCTATGTTTCTACTTTTAGTAACGGAACGTAGCATATTGTATGCATGTTAGTGTATCAATCGCAGCCAGAACGAACATGTAACATAAAGTTATTGTGTGCCTCTGATTTTGATGCTGAAGATTGTATAGGCGTATGCATTGGTCAAGACAAGATATCTCCTGTAATAAAACGACTGTTTGTCTCGTAAATGAGTTTGACAAAGTCACGATTTGTGTTCCCCAATTCTTATTCTTTTAACGTCAATGCCCCATATTTTCTTACTCAATTCTAAATTTACAGATTTCTCTGTTGGCCATGCTCATTCTTCTTCTGATTTAAACTCTAATTTCTTTAACCGCAAAAAACAATATGCAATAGTCGAACATCTTTAGGCAGGTGGTACAAGTATGAGGACGAGTGAAGGCGTTCTAATTCCAGTGTCGATGTGCTGTTTCTTTGCAGGCAATTTTCTGAAATAATTTACGGATTTGTGAGTTGGCCATGGCACATTCTTCTCCTCTTTTTGACCTTGCCTGGTGGGGGATTTAAACTCTCTACATTACGGTGAAGTCAGATGTAGAATTATTGCAAAGCTAGCTATGCCTGAAACCATTTTTCGACACCCTGCGTTTTAGATTATAGTAAAATCCCTGATTCCCAAATTAAAGAAAAAAAAAACAATAAAATTTTATGGGCTAACAAGTACGCTAATTTTTATAATGTAAAAAAAAAAAAAAAAGAATGCAATTGTCAAACATCTTTGGGCAGAAAAAAAGAATGCAATTGTCAAACATCTTTGGGCAGATGGTCAAAGTATGTGAAGGTGAAGTTGCCCACTGAACGGCAAGTGAAGTTCTCCAGTGTCAATGTCGCATTTCTTTTACCGACGGTTCTTCAAAAGTTTCGACTGAAGTGCCTCGGTGTTTAGATATGTTTATTCAAAAAAAAAAAAAAGTTGTGTTTAGAAGAGATGTATCTCAGCAGGAAACTTTCACATTTGTCGCTGATAAATTGTTAGCAACCATCCAAATAGAAAGGCCAAAATCAAGGTAGGCTTTTGATATATGATATATATAATATATGTTCACTTGAATTAACAGGCTTACTAGCTCGTTCAAATTCATATCATGCGTGTTTGGTTCATAGATCTGGACCAATGCAGTACAATTTGAACCGACCGCAAATTTGGAGTAAAAAAATTGATTGTTTTCGGACCGATGTTTGTTGCACGAAGACAAACGTAAATAAAGTCAATTTGTTCATAGTGGAATTTTTTACCGTGTGTTTTGGTAGATTACTGTGTCACGAGAGATTACTCAGCTCTGAGAAGTGTAGCTCAATTGCACCTAATGGATTTTCTTTTCTTCTTCTTCTTCTTTTTTTTTTTTTTTTGGAACTTGAATTTTTTTTCAAATATGAAAACCATCAGCCAAAACAAAAGGGCCAATGCACAATGGAATTACATCAATCCCACAAAATTACAGAGCATAAACACTCCGTAAACAGTGGCCTATAATATTCCTTGGATGTAGCAAACAAAACCACTATTTTTAAGGCTAAAACTTGCCTAATATCATTTAGACCTAGTTTATTTCACCAATTCGAGTTTTGTTACAGTAAAAAACTCTCAGAAATAATCACATTTAACTTTTTACTACAATAAAAAACTCACATAAAGTCATATCTTAACTCGAATTAAAAATTTGAATTAGCGAACTAAACGGACCTTTAAGATATTTGCCTTTGGAGATCGAATTGGACAGTCTTTCCCCGCTCAAACTACACTCATAGCATCTTATTGGAATATCCAACTTGTGAAGCCACCCGATCTCGCCAACTCCAATCCTCAAACAACAAAACATTACGCGATGTGGGGCGGGGAAAACCGCCCAAGAATCCTCTTTGTAGTAGCACAAAGAACCCGACCCCCCTCATACCCGAATGATTATAACAATACTGATATTATTTATGTTATTCTTAACAGCTGCATCTACATTAGTTTTGAGCACACCACGGGAGGGGGAGGGGTTCCCATTTAGCTGTCGGTCTAGAGTTAGTTGTTTCAATTTGGATATCAACCTTGGAAAATTTTCATTCAACTTCTGTCCTTCCTAGAGAAGCCAAAATTGGGATGAAAAGATATCATGGAAAAGTAGATTGCCTGTGAAATCATTATCTAGAAGAAGTAATTGTCATCGGAACCTGTCTTAGAGACCAAGATTTTTGAGGAAATATGGAGCTTAACCGTGGGACTCATTTCCTCCTCTTTCTTGTTCTTGTTCTTTCTCCAGAATCCTTTTATCTCCTTTCTTTCGTTCTACTTCTCTCCCCAGTAGTTCTATTTCTCTTTTTGATTTTATCCTTCCATTGCTACTCCATCCCTTCTCGGTCCTCCATCAGAACCTTCATTAAAAATACTCCAAGCATCAGCTGAAAATATTGCATATTCTGAATGGATATTAATAGTAAACAAAGTGAGAGAAGGAAATGATAGAAGACTTTTAAGTTAATCATCTGACATTGTGACCAACACTTTATGTTCCAGTAAGGACCATATTTCATTTGATTTGTTTATGCTTACAAACAACGTTTAGTTTATGATAACTTCCTGAAGGAAAATGAGCCACAATTCGTTTTATTCTTTGATTCTTACAAGAAAATTACTGAAGTCGTACCTATACACAACAAAACACAAAGCTGCGAAAAATGCAGTACTAAATACAAATTTCACTTGTCGTTTGCGATCGCAGAATGGTGTTCAGCAAGTAACGTCCTGAGATCCTGACTTGATCTGAGAGTTGTTCCTCTATGAACTTTCCAAGTCCATAGTACCATCACAGATGGAGGTTAGTGATCAGCATGAGGCTCAATTTATGGTTCTCTTTACCACTTTCCTCCCGAGACAGGATTCTGGCATCATAATATGTAAACAAAGAAAGGGTCAGATTGAATTTCAATCCAACTATGGAACCAAGTCTTGACAAGTATAAATATTAGATAATAGCAACATATGAGTTTGTCCCCTGTTTGAAAGGAATGTAAAAATAGATAATGTGATAAACTCTGTTGGGCTATTTCCATCCACCATAACTAACATGATCACAAGGCAGTTAAGCCATCTGTGCAATGTTAATCCAATTTCTTACAGATGCTTTCTATAACTAAGAAGAATGCAAATCAGACACTGAAGAAAAGCATGCAAAAACAAACTGGATCTGCGTTCTATTTAGTTTTCAGAACGATGGACTGATGAAGTTCAAAAGCTAGTTCTTAGAAAACATTGACGTATAGATCAACATCAGAATACAAAACAATGTTCATATCTATAATTTTAACCTACTAATCTCAATCTCTACTATCATTTTAACTCAAACAATAACCTTCATTTGCTCACTTTAAACACCCTAATTACCAAATCACACCAGCATACACAAAAAGCATCAGTCAACAATGTATCAAGTTAAGCACTTGAAGTCAAATCAAAAGCAAAGCATGATTATCCAACACAAGAAATCAGAGTAAACTTCCGATTCAACAAAACTGCTTACCACATTTCTTGCTTCACAAGGAAACCGCGGCGCAATGAACAATGGACGACCCAACCGGAACCGAAAGAACCTTACTCGACCAACTAATCTTCCCCAGCAAACCGCCATCCTTATCTTCACTCACTTCAATCTCAGCACACCATATCTCCATCTCCTTCCCATTCCCTTTCTCTTCCCACACCACTACCAACTTCCCTCCCACATTCGCCATGGTGGCTCCACACAAGAACTTGGGCAGCCCCTTTTCCACCCCTTTGAGCTCTCTCCATTCTCCATTGCCCACAACACCACCAAATCCAAACCCCCTAATCTTCCCCAAATAGTCATAACAATACAACACCCCATTCACAACACAAGCCCTCCCCCTCCACCCCAAGTCCAACCCACTCTCCACTCCTTCCCAAACCCCGCTTTTCGCATCGAAAACGACCCCACCCCGGTCCGCCATCGCAAACACTCTGTCCCCGACGACGGCGCTCGCATGCATCCACTTGTCTCGGACCTCAGCCGGGCTCGGCACTGCCCGCCACTCCCCGTCTTCGAGCACCTCAGCCCAATGGGCCGCCCGGGCCCACGAATCAACGGCGCAGCCGCCCATGACATAGATTTTCCCGGCGACGACACCCGCTGCGGCGAATTCCCGGGGGATTCTCATCCGGGGCCCGAGCTCCCACGTGTGGAAGCGGCAGTCGAGGACCCACACGTGGGGGGAGGGGACGTCGTTGAGGGACCCACCGAGGACGTAGATCTTGGGGCCGAGGACGGCGTAGCAGGAGCCGATTGAGGGGACGGGGATGGGCGGGACGGGGACGAGGAGGGGTTTAGTTGGAACGGCGTCGTTTGGGTTAGGGGGTCGGAGGAGGGCGAACCAGGAGGAGGAGGAGGAAGAGGGGTGGTGCAACCGGAGAGAGAGGTAGAGGAGGGGCTGAGTGAACTTGAGGAGGATGCGGGTGGAGAAGAAGAGAGGGGAGGAGAGGAGGGAGCGGAGGGGCTTTGAGACTGCGGAGAGGATCGGGTGGTGCCATCTTGGGATTCGTGCTAAGCAGTTTAGAGCGACGTCGTCTGGGAGCGACGGGATGAGGGGCGGCGGCGGCAGTGGTGTTGGTGGTTCGTCGGTGGTGGTGGTGGAGGACATGGTGGGTGGGACTTGGGAGCCAGGTGTGATTTTTGTGTCTAGCTACCAGAAACTGAGTGGGGCGACTTTTTTTTAAAGCATTTTAGTAACTTATTAATTAAATTAAAAAAAATATTCGAACGTGTTTAAACACGTTTTAAAATAATTTTATTTTTTATATTAAAATAAAAATAAAAATAAAAATATTTTTTTATTTTAGATAGAAATTATTTTTGAAAATATGTTTAATAGTTTTATCAAAAGATTATTTTCAGTGTAAAAAAATTATTAATGTATCTCTTTTTCTCTCTCTGTTCGAGAGAGGAAAAAATAAAAATAAAAAATAAAAAAACGATTAAAAGTCGTTTTTTATTTCTCTCATTTTTTATTTTTATTACGTCAAACACTATTTTAAAAACGTTTAATTTTTTATTTTTTAAAAAACATAAAAAATAAAAATAGAATTAATTCTAAATATGAGGTTCGTTTTTTTTTTCGTTTTTTAATTTTTACTTTTAAAATTGACTTGAATTATGTGATAAATCATTAAAAGGAGAGGAAAATACAATGAGGTTTTGTTTAAGGATTTTTTTTTTGCCACCCTAATTTTTATCTCTTTATTTATTTGTGATTTTTTTTGCATGAATACAAATAAAAACAGAATTAATTCTAAATATGACGTTCGTTTTTTTTTTTTCGTTTTTTAATTTTTACTTTTAAAATTGACTTGAATTATGTGATAAATCATTAAAAGGAGAGGAAAATACAATGAGGTTTTGTTTAAGGATTTTTTTTTTGCCACCCTAATTTTTATCTCTTTATTTATTTGTGATTTTTTTTGCATGAATACCTCTTGTATTTTACACGATTGACAATTTAGTCTTTAAATTAAAAATTGTGACAATTAACCTTTTAAATTTTAAAATCTTGGTATTGTTGTTCCAATTGGTGACCCCATCGAAATAATTGGACGGAAAGTCATTTGCTCTTCACATTTGCTCTTCACATTTGCAGATTATCATGGATAATATTGAGACTTAACCAAAAACACATATATCTTTTGACCAAAAAGCACTTAAACATTTAAAAAATAAAACAAAAAAAGAAAATCCAACACATCAACGTCGGCTCCACTCCTTCCCTCCAAATTAAACCTGAAATCCCACATACAAATGCTCTTCAAAAAATAAAATAAAACTCACATCTCCAATTCAAGTACGTCTCTATTAGTCTTGCATTAACAAATCCCCCGTAAAACACCAATAAGGAAATTAAAGAAACAAAATGGTCAGCATTATTAATAATACACAGAGCAACGAAACCCAAATTCCAAAAAGAATTGTTCTTGTTTTTGGGCTGTTTTTTGCCCTTTTTGAGTTATGTGATGTAGATTTTGAGTTGAGTTATAACTTGAGTTAAAGGTATAACTTGAGTTTGTGTTTGGTTGTGTACATTTAAATTATGATTTGAGATAAGAATCTTTTTGAGTTTATGTTTGAATGAGTCAAAACTTGAATTTATATTTATATAGTATTTTAATAAAAACTCAATGTTGATGGAAAATTTTAATAGGGTATATGGGTGATATTTTATTCGTCTTTTTGTTGTGAACACATAGAAAAAAAATAATCTCAATCAGAAGTAAAACGAAAAAGTTATAGCATTTTTAAGAATAGAAAAAATAATGTTCATTAATTTGAGTTCGAGTTTCTGAACTCGAGTTGAAAGGGAAACTTTATTGGAAAAAACGGCATCGAGTGCGCAGCGAAATTTTAAAAAATTTAATCAACGTCAAAGCCAACCAAGAACATGGTCATGATGCTATAGAACATAAATACTAAAGATCTAAATCATACATTTTGAGATTTTTAAGAAATTGCACGTCTGACTGATCAAAGCGTTCCAAATAGCGAACGGAAGAGCCTCAACCAACTGGTCTTCTTTGCTATTCTCGTTTTCACGATCGGAGTGCGGGTGGGCACATGTCGTTCAATCTCCCTTTGGTATTCTTGAACTCTTTCCAACCATAAGAGAACCAAAAGAAAAATTGTTCTTGAGAATTAAACAATTTTTCCTCTCAGGAATCTTTTGTCAATAGCCTCTAAAAAATCCCTCAAGTGATCTAATGAATAATGTGACTTACTGGGCTATTTATAATGTTTAGGAAGTCATACTTCCGTAACAATTAGGTTTCCCAAAGTTTTTATCGCATCCAGTGTCGGTTTCACCACGCCAGCACGCGCTACGCGTTACAGCCGGTCGACCGGTGACAGAGACGTTATAACTCACCGGTCGACTTGTTCTTCACAAACCGGTCGACCTGACCGGTCGACCTGTCTGCATTGACAATAGTTGTTTTCCTAGTTCTTCAACACGGAAAGCTTGCATAGAGCCTCAGTTTTAATTTAAGCAACCCAATAGAGAAAATGCATGATCAAAACAGTCATATAATAGTCTTCTCATATTAAACAACTCTTAAAACAATAATTCAATCAATTTATCTAGAATTAATTTAACAATTAATTCACCAAATAAATTACTCATGAATTAATTAACCAATCTCCTATTAACTTTGAACCTCTTTTACAGAAATAACACAAGTTACCAATATGTAGGATATAAACCGTATCGTTACTAAAAATTATGTGAGCTAGCAAATGAACCCGATAGACATATATAAATCAAGCTCCTATAATCACAACGCTACTTGTAAACCAACAAGTCTGTCTCATGATTATAAAACTCTAGCGCTATTCCACTAAAAGCCTAGAGCTGCATTCTCGATTTATATAACATATTTACAAAGCTCTGAGTAGCTCTCGTCCATGACTCAATATATTAGTGTATCATCCCCATAGGATATCCATAATCGACTTGAGGTCAAGTTCCGTTTTACCTTCTCGATTACATTTATCTTATGTTCTATTATCACACTGTCAGAAAACCATTATTCGTACCATTACAAACAGTAAACCATTAGATAACACAGAGTAGTCTAATGGTCGAGCGCTCGTATTTTCTAATCCACTGATAATGTATAAGAGGATATGATTGATTCTTTATAGGAGCTATGGATTCCACTATCTATGAATAACGAATCTACGCATACACGAGTCATACACTCAATGTATCGGTAAGCGTACCTTTACATAATGTCAGGATGTCTCCCTTTAGTACACCAGAGGATACAAGTCAAGCATACGGGTTCATTATCCATCTTAGGATTAAGATGACAACATATAATTCGTCAAAAGTGAATTGTTTTATTCAAACAGAATTATTAATTAAAACAATTCAACTTTAGTCCGATCCAATATAGATATTACCATTAGAAACTATATCAATGTCTCTGCTCATGGAGTCCCACCTCTGACGACTAAGACAAGCCGTCTCCATTAGAAAGTAGACAACATAACAATCTTAACATGAATAAAGTGCCCAACTTTATTCCCTCGATTGTAGATCATATGATTTAGACTATCATCTTTAGATTCATGTCTTCTGCATGTTCTTTACATTACATGCATGACCTAAAGATTTATAATGACAGTCTCAGACTTTTAGTTTGCTTATCATACATTCAAATAATATGAACATAAGGAGGACAATACATAGATATATGAAATAAATAAATCTTTATTAATAGTCAAAATGTCTCAAAAAACATCGTTACATTTATTCCTAAGGGCATAAACACTAACAAACTTGAACTCGAGTTTTAGTCCCAAACTCAAGTTCAAACTTAAAAGAACATGAACTTGAATAAAGTTGTAACTCGAGTTGCTTTTTTGAGTTTTTGACTCAAGAAAAGGGTTGCCGAACAACCCCTTTATTTTTCACGTTTTTTGAGAACTAAAAAATAAAAATGATTTTAAAATGGCGTTTGACACAATTAAATATATAAAATGGAAATATGAAAACGATTTCAAAATGGTGTTTGCCACAATTAAAGACATAAAACAAAAATAAAAATGATTTTTTATATAAAACAAAATCATACAAAAAACATTTTGAAACAAAATCATACAAAAAATAAAACCATTTTGAAACGAGTTTGAAACACACCCTTTGTTTTTTATATGAAAGTGAAAATGAAAACGTTTTAATTTCAGACAAAAATCATTTTTAAAAATGCGTTTGGTAGTTTTATGAAGAGATTATTTTCAGTATAAAAAAATCCATTAATGTCTCTCTCTACTCAAGAGAGGAGAAAATAAAAAACGACTAAAAATTATTTTTCATTTCTCTCTCATTTTACACTAAATTAAAAAATTATTTTTATTTTTATTTTTTATTTTTATTGCACTAAACGCTATTTTAAAAACGTTTTTATTTTTTTTTCAAAAAACGTGAAAAACAAAAAACAAAATTAATTTCAAACACGACCAATAATTCTGCAATCTATACCCAGAGCCAGAAGCCAAAATAGCAAACAAAATTCTCAAATCTCAACTTTAAACTATTCTCCCTCTCTCACTTCTCTCTCTCTCTTTACCCAAGACCTCTAATAAATGTCAGTGCCTCAAGAAAAGAAAAAAACAAAGATTTAGTGGCCGACGTGCTTGCTGAAATTACTAAGGACTAAGGAGGATTGAAGCCTTGATCGTGGCGGCGATCATGGGTTTTCTTTTTAATTTGTTTATTTTATCGATTCAGATTTAAAATTTAAATTTTATTATAATAAAATTTTTTTAGAAACAATCACATTTTATTTTTTTATTACAATAAAAAATTTTTATATAAAATCACATTTTAATTTAAATTAAAAATTCGAATCAACGAACTAAACAGACGTTTTATTTATTTGTTTGTTTTTTTTTCATGGATATGGCCACTGCAAAGATGAATTTGGTGGGGGAGGGTCGTTACGACGTCAAATCTCGTGGGGGTGAGATTTCTGCATCTGTCCAGGAGAGAGAGTGGGCAAGAGAGAGAGAGTAAACGAGAAAGGTGCTGATAATTTTCAGTTTGTGTTCTAATTTTCTTTTTGTTTTTCATTTTGATGAATTCTTAATTTGTTTTTGGGTTCTTCTTTTTAGTTAAAACTTTTTTTTTTTTTTTTTAATTTTGATTTAGGCTCTGATTAACGACACACGTGAAGGGCACATGACCTTCCCGTCCAATATTTTTTTGATGCCGTTTGGACTAACAACATTAAAGGGTTGTTCTTTTGCAATAAAACTCAGAAAAAGTTTAAATTCGAGTTATAATTTTATTTAAGTTCATGTTCTTTTGTAAAATTTGAATTTGAACTCGAGTTTGGGGTTAAACTCGAGTTCAAGTTTTTTTTTTCAACTCGAGTTCATAAACTCGAACTCAAGTTATTGAACCATATATTTTTCTATTCTTAAAAATGTCATAACTTTATCGTTTTAATTCTGATTGAGATGATTTTTTTCTATGCATTCACAACGAAAAGACAAATAAAACCCCGCCCATATACCTTATTAAAATTTTTCATCACCATTAAATTTTTATTAAAATACTATCTAAATATAAATTTAAGTTTTGACCCACTCAAATACAAACTCAAAAAGATTCTTAATTCAAATTATAACTCAAATGTGCACATCCAAACACAAACTCAAGTTACAACTTCAACTCAAGTTATAACTCAAACTCAACTCAAGATTATTACTCAAATCACCCTAACTCAAAAATGCATAAAAACAACCCCTAAGATTTTAAATTTAAAGGGTGAATTATCACAATTTTTAGTTTAGAGACTAATGGCCTGTTCTTTTGGAGTGTGATTTGAGTGTAATTTTTGAGTTGAATTTGAGTTATAACTTGAGTTGAAGTTGTAACTTGAGTTTGTGTTTGGTTGTGTTGTATACATTTGAGTTATGGTTTGAGATAAGAATCTTTTTGAGTTTGTGTTTAAGTGAGTCAAAACTTGAATTTGTATTGAGATAGTATTTTAATAAAAACTCAATGATGATGAAAAATTTTAATAGGGTATATAGGTGGGGTTTTATTCGTCTTTTCGTTGTCAACGCATAGAAAAAAAATCATCTCAATCAGGATTAAAACAAAAAAGTTATAGCATTTTTAAGAATAAAAAAAATACTATTCATTAATTTGAGTTCGAGTTTCTAAACTCGAGTTGAATGAGAAACTTGAACTTGAGTTTTAGTCCCAAACTCGAGTTCAAACTCGAGTTCAGACTTAAAAGAACATGAACTTGAATAAAGTTGGAACTCAAGTTACATTTTTTTGAGTTTTTGAAGCTGCCGAACAAGGCCTAAATTATCAATCGCGTTTAGTACAGGATGCATCCATACAAAAAAGTCTTTATTTGTCTCCTGAACTTTACAAATTAGTTTGTGCATCTTTTAGCTTTAAAATGTTATTAATTTTACTCTTTCTGTTTATTTGATTAATAAATTTAATGACGTAACAATTATTAAAGAGGTAGTTTAATGGATTATTTCATAAAATGCCCTTTGAATATGTACCCTATTTCAGAATGTTTAATGATATATCAAAAGATATCAAAATGTCTTTAATTTAGTATTTATGTTGCATACCATTAAAATTATTATTGAGTTCACTTGATGTATGGACGTTTGGTTCATAGATTTAAAATCACGATTCAAAATTATTCTCGATTTACGTGTGTTTTTTGTGAGAGAAAATACTGTAGCGAGTCATGAACCATAATTCGAATCATGGCACGAATCATTGAACCAAACGCACTGTAACAGTTTTAGTTTGCAGAGATTTAGATCCTAAACGTTATGATACTCCCATCTCATCTGTACCCTCACGTTTTTCATGTTGCGTGACTTTAAGATCTTTCGAAGTAAAAATCGAAAAAAATCAAAAGATCTTAAAAGTCATGGACCTGAAAACATGAGGAATAGTACAAATGGCCGGAGGAATTCATCGCCGTTCCTGTGACAATATTCTTGACAAGAAGTTATCATAAAAGAAAGAAAGTTGAACGTGACTTCTGAGTTTTGACTTCGTTTGGCTTTCGAGGAAAAAAAAGTTTTTGACATCGTGTCTTTTCTTTACATTATACTCTGTGTTAGTGATCTGATTGATATGTGTATTATTGTAGGGCTAGATTTGGAGTTGGTAATAACCCACTTTCTTTACGAAAACAGAATTCACTGCAGCAAATTCTATGCTTCTACAAAACCTACCACAATACTGGCTCTAAATAAAGGGTCCTCTACTATCTAGTTGCCAAAACCTCTCAGCCAACTCCACTTCAAAGTAACCCTCAATACTTTTTGTGTTTCTTTGGTAACAACAGTAACGATGCGAAACTCCAATGAAAGGATTTGACAGCCTACTGGACCAATTCACTAGTTAATTCTGCAATTATATAGTAAGAACTAAGCAAGTTACAATATTTCAGCCACACCACCGCCTTTTTGATTATACGAAATTGTGTAAAGATCGCTCAAGATAAGACCAAGAGTATCTTTCTCATATGTTTCTAACTGACAGATAAGCCAATTTTAAGAAGTCAGAGAACACTGGTTCTTAACTACTGATTCCTGGTCAAGTAAGAATCTTCTAATGATCTACTACTACAATCGCAAGCTACAAAAACTTGATATGAAGTGGAGAAATGTACAGCTTCTAAATCAATCACCCAATCATTTTTCAGAAAACACAAAATGGAAGTTTTACCAAGTAAAGCCTTAAATATTATCACTTGAATGATCAAACTTACTAGCTTAGTCTGATGCATTCATTGGACTCGAACTAAGGGCATTAATTGGAGTGGCAGAAGTGTGGCACTGGCACATCAGATATCAAACGAGTTAATAGGGCAAGGTACAGCACAACCCAAACAATAATCAGTGTGCATAAATTACGTTGCACCAGCAAAGATTGATAAATTTCCACCATACAACTGTAAGATATCAGCTGCACAATAACATAACATGGAAACCAAAGGAAAGTCTATGGTATATCTACTTCAAAGAAATTTCCAATTCATAACAACATGCATGACCATGAAGTAGTAAAGGCCCCACCAATCTTTTGTACTTCACCAAATTCTCTCAAAAACTAAGATCCCTAAAATGTAACTTTTATCAAGGATTCAGGAAAGATCATATTCAGCATCACCAACACTTAATTGCTCAAAAACTTGAACAAAGTTCATCTCTCAAAATAATTCTTTACAGTTCTCTTCCCAAGAAAGTACTCTTCATGTCATTACCCGTTTTAACTATTTAGCTCTCAAAAAGGATGTCAAGGAATGGGGAACGTGGAGGTTTTAAAGCTTTAAAGTTAATTAAAAAAAGTTCTTAAGATGGGTAGTCAAGCATGTGTATGTGAAGTGCCGACTGCCAGACATTTTGAGTCCAAACTTTGAGTTGGACGCAGAATGTGGTGCTTCAAAGGAGATGTATCATTTAGCAAAAAAATTCCATATTTGACAATGCTTAATTGCGAAAACAACCAACTGAACAAGCTAAAATAAGGATGGGCACAGGCTTGATATATCTTGTCACTCAAATGGAAAAAAACTTATGTAGCTTACTCAGAATCATCAGTAAGACTCAAACAGCGGACAAATGCACAGCGCATACAATTCAAAGTTCATTATGTACTCAAAATAATTTTAACAGTTTCCTTCCACAAGAATGCAATCTGATTTCTATAACTCGAGCTTGTTGTACATTCTCTGATTCTCAGATACCCAATCATAACAAAAACTATGAGGAAAACCATTGATCAATTTAAACAAATCAAGCTTATCCAATGAAAAGAAAGAGTGAAAAAAATAACATACCCCATTTAGTCCTCACAAAGAAACTGGCATACAATTATATAACAAGGGCCACCTATATGTTCCACATACGCACGTCGAATAAACCATCTCCGACCACAGAACTTCTCCCTGCAAATTCCCATCCTTATCTTTCTTCACTTCAATTTCCACACACCACACTCCCATAGTTTTCTCCAAATTCCGAAGAAGTGCCGACTCCAAGATTACCAACCTCCCTCCCACATTGCTCATCCTAAGGTTCCGCCGGTAACTCCGCATCCCTTTATTCACAAACTTGAGCCTTTTCCACCCTCCAATTCTTTCATCAAAGCCTTTAATCAACCCACTATAACCATCGAGGCAACACAACACTCCATTCACCTCGCACATCTCTATGTTCCAATCCAATCCATAACCGATACGACTCTCAAACGCCTCCCACGTCTTCATGGCGGGGTCGAACCTGAGCTCTTCTTTGTCCATCCAGATGCAAACCTTACCACCTCTAATGGCGCAGCCAAGAACCAGTTTGCCGTAGACCTCAAGCACGGGGCTAGGAAGGGCCTCCCAGCGCCCGGCCACCGCGTCGAACACATCCGCCCATGAGCCGGTCATTTTCCACTGTCGGATCACGTATATTTTGCCGTCGAAAACTACAGTCTTTGTGGCGCACCCTAAAGCCGTTGGCATGCTCGGACCCCGCTCCCAAGTGTGGAAGCGGCAGTCGAAAATCCACACCTTGGTTGAAAAGAGGCGGTCCGTTTTGCCGCCGAAAACGTAGATCTTGGGACCGATGGCGACGTTGTGGGACCAATCTAGGCAGTCGTCCGGAAGTCCTGGGACCGGAGCGATGATGATATTGGTCTTGTTGTCGTCGGAGTTTGGGTTGGGTCTTCTTCCGTACACCGCGGACCAACTCAGAGTCTTGTCGGATTGGCTATGAATTCGGAGGTAAGGCAGAAGTTCGGAGCAGTTGAGGGATGATCGGACGGCGAAGAAGTGTGGGGAGGAGAGGAGGGACCTTATGGGCTTCGACACCGCCGCGAGGACTGGGTGGTACTGTCTTGGGACGCGAGCCAGACACTGCAAAGCGATGTCGTTTGGTAACGACGGGATGAGAATCTCCGGCGGTGCCTCTGTGGCGGCGGTGGACATGGTGTTTATTAATTAATGAGGTCGTCGGTCGGAAGAGAATCAGGAATGTAAATAGTAACGAAAGGTGTGAATTAGAGATATTTATGTTGCGTGACAAAAAAAAAAAAAACAAAGAAATGAAATGGTGAGGATCGTCTTAAATGTAAAAATGTTTTAAACTGGGGGGATAAATATATATATATATATTATTTTTGATAAATTGGTGGACAATGACCCATTCCACTTGCTTTCAACATCTTCAGATTCTCAAATAAAAACAAGCCCCAAAGAAAGCTGGACAAGGCATCCACTTTATGACCGGTACATGAGAATATGCCTTGTTAAAACTAATGATTCTGAAAACTGACTCGTTAAGAACCTTGCCACGTGAAACTCAGTGAAATATGTCTCATTCATTTCATTTATTTAGGTTTAAAATTTGAGTTTTGTTACAATAAAAAATTATCAAAACAATTACATCTAATTTTTTTATTACAGTAAAAAATTCTCACATAAATTCACATCTCAACTCGAATTAAAAACTCGAATCAGCGAACTAAACGGACCCTAATCAGAAAAGAAAGAATACAATACGTAATTAACTCCACTTCATACAAATATAATTGGTGAGGTTCAGATATTCATCAAAATCTTTATGTCCACGTATTTCAATACCATACCCTGATTGCTCAAATGTTGTAGTAGGAAATGGTTTAGTGAACATATTTGTTAGTTTTAAAACTGACCATTCAAATAGCGATACGACGACACGATTCAAAATACGTACAAAGTTAACGAGTTTCGGTCAAAATCAGATCAAATTTGTGAAACACGATTTAATATCGTATCATTTTTAGGTTGGCATTGACCCGCTATAACTCATTTATTAAACGTGTCATATTTAAGTAACCCATAATTACAACCCGTTTGTTACCTATGTTGAGAAACAAGTTGAAAAATAAATTGAGAAATAGATTGATACAACCTTATTATCACTCATTTTATAAACATGTTATTAAGAACAGATTGACATGACACTATTATGACATGTTTAATAAACGAGAGTTGGTCGTGTCGTGCTGTGTCAATAAGCCAATATACAGGTCGTGTTTAGGTTTTGTATTTCGACATGAATAATAAACGGATCGTATTCGTGTAAGGTCTTATTGTGTCAATTGAGAAAATCAACACGATACGACAACACGAATTGTCACCCCTAACTAGCCTGTTGCATGAATGGATTTGTTGAATATCTATATCACCATTCTTTTTGTTGTTCATGTGTGAAGAAAAACCTCACATGATTCTGAGAACTGACTCGTTAAGAATTTTGCCACGTGAAACTCAGTGAAATATGTCTCATTCATTTCGCTTATTTAGGTTTAAAATTTGAGTTTTGTTATAATAAAAAACTATCAGAAATAATCACATCTAATTTTTTTATTACAGTAAAAAATTCTCACATAAAGTCACATCTCAACTCGAATTAAAAACTCGAATCAGCGAACTAAACGGACCCTAATAAGAGAAGAAAGAATACAATACGTAATTAACTCCACTTCATACAAATATAATTGGTGAGGTTCAGATATTCATCAAAATCTTTATGTCCACGTATTTCAATACCATACCCTGATTGCTCAAATGTTGTAGTAGGAAATGGTTTAGTGAACATATTTGTTAGTTTTAAAACTGACCATTCAAATAGCGATACAACGACACGATTCAAAATACGTACAAAGTTAACGAGTTTCGGTCAAAATCAGATCAAATTTGTGAAACACGATTTAATATTGTATCATTTTTAGGTTGGCATTGACCCGCTATAACTCATTTATTAAACGTGTCATATTTAAGTAACCCACAATTACAACCCGTTTGCTACCTATGTTAAGAAACAAGTTGAAAAACAAATTGAGAAATAGATTGACACAACCTTATTATCACTCATTTTATAAACAGGTTATTAAGAACAGATTGACATGACACTATTATGACATGTTTAATAAACGAGAGTTGGTCGTGTCGTGCTATGTCAATAAGCCAATATACAGGTCGTGTTTGGGTTTTATATTTCGACATGAATAATAAACGGATTGTATTCGTGTCAGGTCTTATCGTGTTAATTGAGAAAGTCAACACGATACGACAACACGAATTGTCACCCCTAACTAGCCTGTTGCATGAATGGATTTGTTGAACATCTATATCACCATTCTTTTTGTTGTTCATGTGTGAAGAAAAACCTCACAGAAATATTCTTGATTATATCGCCTTTGATATAACCTCTGTTGATTTGAGCAATGCAAGTTTTATTATCTTTCGTGTAGTATTGTTAGATTCCTTTGGTTCAAGGATAATTTGCAAGTCTCTGAGCCGCATTGATCCACATAGCTCAATCATACATATTCCCGGCTCGCTTCAGGTAATGCAAGTATTGTAGTATGATTTGATGAAGTTAAACAGTATTATTTTGAAAAATTGTTCAAAAAGACTTTTTTGTTTTTTCAAAATTAATATCTAAAATTCCTAATATGCCCCGACAACAGTTGTGATTTGCTCATCAGGTGAGGTACTTTCACAATCATGGCATATTCCAAGACCATAATTTCTCTTCATCTATAGGTTCATATGAAGGTGCGTGTTAGATTAAATGCAATATACTAGCCAAAACATATCTTCTTTGCAAAGTCGGCTGATGTTGCTTGTTTGTTTGGTTGTTTTGTAGGAACAACCAAAACATTAACAATTCAGAGCTCCCTCATGACAAATTGTTCAGTTTAAAGTTAGTATAGTTTTAAATAGAAACATTTCCCGTTCATGTCACTGATTCAAGTTTATAATTCGAGTTTTACTACAGTAAAAAAGCTCTCAGAAACAGTCACATCTAATTTTTTTACTACAGTAAAAAACTCTCACATAAAGTCAAATCTCAATTCGAATTAAAAACTCAAATCAGCGAACTAAACGGACCCTGAACAGTTCATTGATAGAATCGTTCTCTATTGAACCCGCGGGAATTGGTCCTTATCTCATCTCCAATTGCATTGAAGCTTAGCCAATTCCACTTTCAAGTGCCTAAAATAACTTTTCTTGACATGTCAGTTCCGTTCGTTTCTCGTGTTTGAATTGAGAATGAAGCCTCAGAAACTATAAAATCTTTTCCCCTTTGGTCTGGGAAACAGTTACAAAGCTTTATTTTAACAATCTGTGGTGGAAGCAAAAAATACTGACCTCGATGGACCGGTTTCCTCTTTAGCTCCTGGAATTCTCAAAGGTAGGAATCAGCAAATTTCGACGTTTCAGCCACATGAATACATTTGTTGTTATGTAAAAATGTGTTGAGATCACTCCTGATTGGTCACGAAGTACCTTTGTCAAAGTTTTTACATTAATCGTTTAATGCAGTTTTCATTATGCAATAAACGAGTTGAAATCGCTCCGGATGAGTAAAAAGAAAACGTACATCTGTGATCTGTCAATGCTTCTCCTTAACAGAGAGAAAGCATAACGAAAAAGTATTACCATAGACCTTGGAGAACACTGGATTCAATGAGATTATTGTGTTAAACGGCAATTTAATAGCAACTTTTGAAGAATGAGAAAGAAAAAAACAAAAAAACAAAAAGCTGCACTATGCCAAATACATATGTGCACGGTGTCCATATCCTTGATGCAAACTAGAAAAAGTGATAGAATTTGTAGACACCAATACACAAGGAAATTGCAGAAGCTTAAGATCAAGTGGGGCACTAAAAAATGTTTAGGCAAAATAATCCCACCCGTAAATAAAACAGAGCTGACCAGGGAAAGAAAGTAGATGATATGATTCCACTAATTCGAAAGGAAACAAACATTAGTTTTTTAGAATGAAAGAAAAATACTATTTATTGGCGCTTCAGGGGACGAACAAAATACAGATGATGACACACCAAAGGCTGCTTCAATTAAAAAGTATGAAGTTTATAAAACCAACTTACATGAAAAAAGGAACTAAACGAAAAAATAAGGAAACAACACAAGTCTGATCTTAACAACACAAACGCAAGTTTAAATAGAAAGTAAATAATTTTAAAGAAGTTAATCTATTCACCTCAAAACTTTTAGAAGATTATAATTGGGTCCCTTTTTAAAAATTATAATTTGGCCCTCAATCTTTTAGAATCATAATTTGACCCTTAAACTCTTAAAAATTACAATTTGACCCGTAAGTTTTTTTCAAACTTACAATTTGACTCCTAATGTGTTTAAAATCACAATTTCACCCCTAAACTTTCATAAATTGCATTTGACTATTAAACTTTTTCAAATTACATTTTGGCCCCTAACATTTAAATCTTTCCTTTTCCTAGCCAGTTGCATCTCGACCTCGAACACGGTCGTGACATGTCAGGTAGTCCCATGGCAATCGTGACCCGGCTCTAATGACAGTCATGACTTGATGGTTCTGGCCAGTCAATTCGGACCCGACGGTGATCCTGACTTGACCATGTCATTGGCTTGACTCAAATTGCAATCCCGACCTGAGCCCGGTACTGTTTTGGCTCATCGGTGGACCTCTTGTGGCGGTTGCTACCTATTGGATTAACCAATCCCTACACCAATATTGATCTTGTTCGTTAATCCAACCACGACACCGATCCTAATCCCTTCCCAAAACCTAATGTTTCCATAACTTGAAAAAATTTGACAAATTTTGTTTTTCTTTTCAAAATACAAGTTTCCAAACATGTTTTCAAAAGGTTTTCACTTTTTTGTATAAAAAACGAAAAACTATTCAAAAAATCGATACCAAAAGCACCTTTAGATAAGACATGATTCAAAGTGCATTGTGGGGTATGCAAAACAAATAAAATGATTCAGATAAGGCGCTGTTTCAAAGTTCATGTCAATAAAAACTTACTAGCTTGTCACTGATAAATTTTAGTTCGCTGATTCGAGTGTTTAATTTGAGTTGATATGTGATTTTATATAAGAGTTTTTTACTGTAGTAAAAAAGTTAAATGTGACTGTTTCTAAGAGCTTTTTACTGTAATAAACTCGAATTCTAAACTCAAATCGAAAAAATGAACCGGACGAAAGAACTATAGCTCTATCGGATTCACTAGCAAGATTCAGACTGGAGCATTGCCTGGTGCAATATGTGCTTACAACAGATTGTATCAGATGTCAATTCCAAAAACAAAGACCCCAAATTTGGAACACGCACACGTTAGTACGACTCAAACTTGGGGCATTAGCTGTTGCAATATGTACTGCACCAAAATCTTAACTTGTAGCTAGCAAGAAATGCAGAGCAAAAGCACTATCACTAAATTCATCAACAAAAACTCTCTCTAAAACCATTTTTTTCTTTTTTTAAAAATAAAAAAATAAATAAAAGAAAGGGAAAAGAGAGAGAGAGAGAACGTACTCCATTGCATCGCCAGTCCTCACAAAGAAACTGGCATACAAGTACACAAAAAGCCCTGCGCATCATTCAACCATGCGTCCTTCGAAAAGACCATCTCCGACCACAGAACTTCTCCCTCCAAATCCCCATCCTCGTCCCCATCCTTCTTCACTTCAATTTCCGCACACCATACTCCCGCTTTTAGCTCCAAATCTGAAGTTACAGCATCATTCTGTAAATCATCATCTAAATCATCCTCCCACAGAATTACCAACCTCCCTCCCACATTCACCATCAAGGGTGGTTCATCCCAGTAATTAGGCAACAACCCTCTATCATTCACAAGCTCAAGATCTTCCCACACTCCAACTCTTTCATCAAACCATTTAATAGTGCAGTCACAATCCTCAATCAAATACAATACTCCATTCACCTCACACATTTTCGTCGGAGTTTAGGTTGGGGCTTCGAAACAGCGTGAACCAGAGCATGGGCTGGCCGTTTAGGCATTGAAACCTTAGGTAAAGCAGGCATTCGGTGCAGTTGAGGGCTGATCGGGCGGCGAAGAAGTCTGGGGAGGAGAGGAGGGATCTGATTCGCTTCGACACCGCCCGCGAGGACAGGGTGGTATCGTCTTGGGACGCGGGCCAGACATTGCAAAGCGATTTCGTTTGGTAGCGACGGGATTAGGAACTCCAACGTTGCATTGAGCTCACAAAAGTGGGAAGGAAAGGTAAAGCAACTAAAAATTTAATACCAATTTTGCCCCTCTACTTTCTACTTGATTATTAACCCCTTTTTTTTTTTTTTTTTTTTTTTCACTTTTCACACCCCCATTCTGTTTCATTCTGTTTATCTATTTTGTCAGCTTCTCACAAGTTTGCAGTAATCTTGGTCTGGGATAACGGTTCTAAAGCCTATATGAGGATTATTATATGACATTAGCATCAACAATAAGTTTAACAAATCTCCTGTCGACATACTACTGAATCTCTATGAATCACCCTCCTATTTAGCTACTGAAATATTCAAAAATAATAACTAGCAAATTTCAACGTTTTTCAGCCACATGAATGAATATTTGATACATTTTTCATTTTGCAAAAGACGAATTGAAATCAGTCCAAATGAGTCAAAAAAGAGTACATATGCAAAAGCTTCTCTCTAACTGAGAGGAAGCATAATGAAAAAGTAAGATCATAGAAATTGGAGAACACTGGATTCATTAAGATTATTGTGTTAAACAAATATTTAATTGCAATCTTTTGAAGAAAGAGAAACGAAAGCTGCACTTATTAAAGACTAAGGAAGAAAGAATTTCATTCACTAAGGAAAAATGTAGAGTACTACTTAAATAGCTATGGATGCGTTTGGTAGATGGATTCAGAATCATGATTCTGGATTCTGGTTCAAAATCAGTGTTTATTTATAGTGATTCTAAATTATACTTCAGAATCAGTGTTTGGTTTGGATGATTCTGAATTATGATTCATAATCTGATGTGATATTTTAAACTAACTCAAATCATGATTCTAAAACTACCCCCCTCTTGATTCAAGGTGATTCAAACCCCTGATTTTGAATAATGGTTTTAGAATCATAATTTAAACCCAAAATTATGAATCATGATTTTAGTTCTAGAATCATAAATCATTCTGGTTTGAATTCTCGTACTAAACAAACCCTGAGTTCTGCAAAACTGAGTATCTAACAAATTACAAATGGTTGTAACAAATTAATCTGTCTTAAAACTAATCTAGTAACTAAGTTGTATCTCTAACAGCCACCCTCAAACTCAAGGTTGAATTGAAAGCTTTCAACTTTGAGTTTGTGTCTTAAAGCTGGGAATTTTGAACTAGAAATAGGCTTGGTTAATACATCAGCAGCTTGATCTGAGGCTGGAACATGTTTAAATTCTATCAATTTCTTCAACACCTTTTTCCTTATAAAATAGAGATCAAGTTCCACATGTTTCGTTGGAGCATGCAAGACTGGATTTGCTGCAAGCCGCACAATACCAAGATTATCACACCAGACTACTGGTTTACATTGTGATTCAATCTTTAACTCTTCAAGCAGTAACATGAGCCAAGTAATTTCAGCTATGACATTTGCTAGACATGCCAAACACACGCCGACGACCAACAACAAAATATAAATAAATTAAAACAAAACGGGAAAATATTAACGTCTTAAATATAAATATTCATTTTGTTATCTTTTCTTTCTTTTTAATTCATTAATATTTTTTCTTTTTTTTTTTTCGTTACGTAAGGATATAAATTTCTTTACATATATAATAGTAGGTATTTTTATAAATAAAAATGTTCTAAATAGACATTTTTATAAATAACCCGTCTTTATTTTCTGTTTTCTCGTACGTTTAAGCTGTGCAAACAATTGCGTATCAGGACATCTTATTTTTTTGCTAGTAGCATATGAGGACGTCTTAAGTTCTATCAAATTAATACCATGAACCGGTCAATGCTCAATTCGACTCAAGACAATGATCAAAATGTCTTTAAGAAAAGGAAAAGGAAAGTGAAATTATTCATTTCTTTTTCAAACCCAAAAACTTCTAGCGGAGGTCTTTCTTTCTTTCTTTCTTTCTTTCTTTCTTTAAGGATTCTTAATTTTTTTCTTTTTTCTTTTCTAATTTTCCTCAAGGGTATTTTTGTCATTGCATTAGTCAAAATCGAAAATCTCATGGTCATACAATTTGCTTATCAATCCGTGTTAGCATTTGGTTGAATCGTTCTCCTTTACATTACTAACCGGAATAAAACACTCTTAGAGCAATATATTATGGCTCTGACCACTAATTAGCCAACTCTAGTTTGAAGTGATCTACCCGTTCGGTTCGCTAATTTGAGTTTTTAATTCAAGTTGAGATGTGATGTTGTGTGAAAGCTTTTTACTGTAGAAAAAAAAATTAGATGTGACTGTTTCTGAGAGTTTTTTACTGTAACAAAACTCGAATCAGTGAAAAGAACGGGTTCTTGACATATAAGCAAACCATACGCACTTCTCCTCTATAGTCTGGTGTAACAGTTCTAAAGCCTAAATGAAGATTTTTTTTTTTTTTTTTGAAGGTAAGGATTATATTTGACAATACCATCAACTCTGCAAGTTTAACAATCTGCTTTGGACATAACACTGAATCTCTATGAATCGCCTTCCTATTTAGCTTCTGGAATTTTCAAAGATAAGAACTAGCAAATTTCAACGTTTCAGTTTCATACACATTAATAGTTTGATACAGTTCTCATTATGACAAAATAAAAAAAAAACTAAAAAGATTTACAAGACGTTTCATGGATTAGAATCATGAGATTAGAATCATTTTCGATTTACCTGTATTTTTTATGAGAGAAAACACTGTAACAAATCATGAATCATGATTCGAATCAGGGTACGAATCCCCTTACCAAACGTAAAATCACTCCAAATGAGTCAAAAAAGAATATATCTGTCAAAGCTTCTCCTTAAGAGAGAGGAAGCGCAATGAAAAAGTATTTTATCAGAAACTTTGGAGAACCCTGGATTTATTGAGATTATTGTGTTAAACGAAAATTTAATTGCAATTTTTTGAAGAAAGTGAAACAAAAAACATAAAAGTTTCATTATGCAAATAGACAAGGAAACTAAGGAGACGTTTGTTTCCTATATTCGTTCCTGATTCTGAATCATGATTCATGGTTCTCTACAATATTTTCTCTCATAAAAAATACACGTAAAACGAGAACTATGATTCTGAATACATAAATTAAACGTCCTCTAAACTTAACATAAATGATTCAACTTAACATAACCAAAGCATCATAAGGAGAAATCTTTCATACTCGCCACCAATAAATAAACATAAAGCTATAACAGGAACAATATCTGTTCTGAGCGAGTCCACAAAGTGTACGTGACAAGTCGGGTGTGGGGTAAAAGAAAACAATCAGATTGTATTACATGTTAACTTCTAAATAGGAAACAAAAATACTAATTGTTGGTGCCTCAAGCTTAAGAAGATCAACAGCTCTTTAGAACAGCTTTCTAATATCCAAACCTATTTTCTGTTTCTTTACATTTAAATCCGAACATCTGAATTGGACTCGCCGATTGGGAGTGTTGTGTTTAAAGGAGATGTATCGCTTAGCACAACATTTTTGTATCTGCCTCTGGTAAATTACAAAGTATAACTAATTAAACAAGCTAAAATAAAGACAGGAACAGTTTTGATATATCTTCATCACTCAAATGAAAAATACCTAATAGCTAGTGGTGGAACTTCAGGCGGCGGGCCTGCCCGAAGCCCGAAGCCAGAAAATTTTTGAGCTCGGCGGGCAGACACCATTCGCCACCCGTCCACTCTAATTACTCGGGCTCGGGCAAACCGAAGAAAAACCATTCTTGGCAGCCCGCTGCCGGCGGGAGAACCGTGACCGCCGTTTTTTTTTTAAGTTTCCACCGTAACCCGAGCCCGACCCGTTGCCCAAAATCTAAAAAACGGGTAGTTTTTTTAATTTGCCCAACCCGTCTCAAATTTTAAATTGCAACCTCCCTTATAATTTGTCTAATTTTTACAATAAATAACTTAAAAATCATTTATATACATATCATATACAATTAATAAACAAAATTATATATAATATATATATAATAGTATATAA